CTTCAGCTTGGCTGTCTCAGGAATTCTGGGAGTTGAAGTCCACAGGTTGTAAAAGAGCTACAATTGCCCACCCCTGGACTAGACATAACCAGTTCCAGCAACCGTTCTTTATATGTTTTAGCCTCCAGTCCCCTAATCATCTTTGTTGCTCTTCTCTGTTTTCTAGAGTCTTAACATCTTTTTTTTTTTTTTTTACATCGTGGTGACCAAAACTGGATGCCGTATTCCAAGGGTGGCCTTACCAAGGCATTATAAAGTGGTTTTTAAGTTGTAATACTTCAGGAATTCAATATTGGTTGATTTTATTACAAACGGACTTGATTCACATTCCCCAGGCTAATGTGAAGATCAGAATTCATGCATTCATTGTGCCTTTAAAAGCTATTTTCAAACAGATCATATATATTATAATGTGAGCATTCATGTGGACAGAGAAACAGATTACAAAACAATGTGGAAACAGGAGTGAATTGATTTTTGCATGAATGCATGCAAAATTACCTACATTGGAAAAGGTGGACTAATTAGCTCTACCATCAGGTTTAGGTAGGGAATTGGATCATTTTGACTAGAAACAGCTTTCCAAAGAGTTGTATGTGCTGTTGGTTCATCTAGCTGTGTAATTATTTGCTGTTCAGCTTTACTTTCTAGGGCTACAGTGTTATTTTTATCAGAGACTATCTACATATAAAAAAAAGTATTCTCAGCTGTAGCTTTGTTTTCTGTGATAACTACAAGGGACTTTCAATACTTATTGTGTTATTAAGCAGTAACTTCCAAGATAAATAATAAAATGTGTAACTCTAATCTTTCTATTTACCTCCATATTAACTATTCATGTACTTTTGTTGAATCCTGCTAAAACATCTTGTATTATGCCACACACTGCATCTTTGGTTCTGTCAAAATGTAATTTTTGGCCTACTGTAATGCTCCTCAGGCTAAACATTTGTATCAGTGGTGGGTTGCTCCCGGTTCGCACTGGTTTGCAAGAACCGGGAGTAAAAATTTGTAGTAGTTTGGAGAACTGGTAATAACATTGGCTGGCCATGCCTCCAAAACGGTCCCTGGCCCGGTCAGCGCTCACTTACCCCACTGAAGAGGTTGTAGAAAAAAAATGCCTTTAAAAGCCTCTGACGATCCCAGCTGAGTTGCCTGATCGTCAGAGGCTTTTAAAAGCATTTTTTTCTGCAACCTCTTAAGGTTGTAGAAAAAATGCTTTTAAAAGTAAAAAAAAAAAAGTTGGCCACGCCCACCCAGTCACATTACCACCAAGCTACACCACAAAATAAGCCACACCCACAGAACCGGTAATAAACATTTTTAGAACCCAGCCCTGATTTGTTCCTATATATTTGCCTCCCCTAGGTTGGGTCATTCACACAACAAAAAATAGGGACTTAGCTAAAAAAAAGAGAGGGGGGTAACATATTAGGAAGATAAAGGTGGGTTTCTTTAATTTCATTAAGTCTAATGAGTTAGAAAAGATGCATTTTTTGAGGTATTCACATAAAAGATACCTACCTGTATCCATACAGATGCTATTATCTATATCCAAAATATTTTCCCCCTGGAATTTTGGATTTAGTTACCTTATAGGTATAAATTTTGTTCATGCACTCAGGGAATACTGATCTATTGGAATGGTTTGAAAATGTGTTACTTGTGAGTTGCTTTTGTTTCTTATATTTATTTTTCTCATCAGGAAAGGATAGAGGGAAAGAGGACCTAAGGAGTTGACTCTAAGCAGCAGGTGAAAAAAAGCTCATATGCTTTTTCGTGCCATCGAATTCATCATTCAATTTGATGAGAATTTGCTTTATGAAAATATTTGAAAGCAGAAGAGAATGTGAGTGGCCAAGAGGTGTGTTTTCACTTATCCTTCACTGCACAAGTCTCTCCAAAGACAGCTTCTCTAATGTCTTATTTTCCATTACATTCCAAAGGAAGATGACTATAGGAGTTATTTTATTTTAAATTAGCCATGAATTTAAAAGTTGCTATAACTGATAAATTATGGGAGTAGTTCCTTGGAAAAAATTCAAAGAAACTCTTCACATTTCTCCGCATACCAACCTGGTAGAGAATTTTAAAAGCTCTATTGGAGCCCAGGTCTTGATGAGATAAATCTCTGGGAAATTCTTCTTCAAGATGATAATGGCAATAATTCTGGAGAATACAGCTCCAGTCTATTTTTGACTTTCCTATTAAGCAATATATAGACCCTGAAGCTCCTGTCTCTGGTCACTCAAAGCTTGGAGTTGAAGTGATGGGATGCCAGATTTCCAAACGTCTCTACAAAATATTAAAATATGTATAAATAATAAGGCATTGGTGTGCAAGGCAGATATTTTGGAGTTTAGGGGTTGCTAAAGTCTATGTTTTCAACAGCCATCTTTGCATTCTACACTCAGTATCTTCAATTTGGATTCTTACTGATCTTTTTCTGTACTTCAACCATGTTTTTAGTCCCTTCACATATAGTTGTCCCAAATGACCCTCTTAAAAGGATGCAAATGACCAGCTGTCTGCAAGGAATATAAATCCTTCCATTCCCCACTATCCTGTCAGAGCTGAAGAAGCTTCTTGAATGAGAAACGAAATGTCTTCAAAAGAAAAAAAAACAAGAAAGTCCAGTTGCCTCCTGAAAAAGCATGATCTGGATGACTGAGAATCTCTACAGATTTCGTATATAGTTCTACATTTGGGGCTAACTATCTGGGTTACTGGTGTGAGCTGTAACGTAGAATGGGAGAAGTCAACGTGACTCACAACTGGGCAATCAAAGACCTATTGCTTTTTTTTATCATGCATCACATGTATTCCAACACACATAAAATAGAGATACAGGACTTTGACTTTCTGATCACATAATCATTTTAATCCTCCCTGTGTGGACAATCCCCAGCGACTGATCTGTCTCTCTGGCTCCTTGCAGTTTGGCAGGATACAATATCAATTCTCAACTCTTTCTATTAGACGAGCTATCAGGATTTCCAGTTTATTCTGGCTTAAACTGCAACTAGGCCTGCAATTTCTGTCATATTGATATTCATATTGAGTTATCCTCTAGCCTTACTCTTTTGCTGTAAATAACATACAAAAGTCAGTTAAGAGGAAAACACAATTTCATCCAAGATCGAAAAGCTACTGTATTTTTCTCTACTACAAGGAGAATAAGTACATTTAACAAAATCGGTGTATAGGTGAAACCTGCTCGTTTTTTAATGCTGTAAAATGGAATCTCAATGCAAAAGTGATGTTATACTGAATAGGGATATGTTGTATGGCCCAAATATTATAGTAAAACTCCAATAACTGAGTAAGAGGCAAACTGAACAATAAATTTGACTGATACTATGTCAAGCCAATCTGAGCAAGCATCTGTCATCTTACTGTTTCTAAATTGATAGCTGATTATGATGACTAATTCTTCTTACTAACCATCTCTTTATCAGGAAGCTATCCTTGTCTTTGTGAAAAATCATGTTATGTATAACTATAAAACACATTGTCAGACCTGCCCCAACTTGGTCCTTTAGATAAGAAAGACCTTGACTCCATTCGGGTTGAAAGGTATTCTTTACTAAAAGCCAAGTAGAATATAATGTAGCAAAGCCGAAACTGATGTTCACATGCCAAAACTTCCCAGTTAACTTTCCCCATTCCGTTCCTCCCCTCTGCTTATTGCCCAACTGTATTTGAATACATTGTTTTGGGAATGCTCTCTTCAATGGCAGGCTGATCGTTGAACTGTTACCAGGGCTTTGAGCTTGAGACGGTACAATGAATTGCCAACCTCCCTCCCACGCGTCCAGCTCACTCCTCCCCATAGTTCATGGCAGACTGGCAGCTACCAAATGGGAAGCTCAGCATATGATGGCAGTGCTGACACATATACAATCTTACAAAGAGGACATAAATTGTTGGGAAAATATTAGTGCAGAAGAATCCAAGTGCCTAGTTAAACAAACAAACAAACAAACCAAGTTGAACACAATTTTTAACTCACTAGAAAAAGCCAATCAATTCTTCCCTTGTTTTCATGGCATTATCAGTGAAGCCTTTATCTTGACAATGATCTGCTCCATCTTATTGTATTTGCAGAAAAATTACTTTATCAAAGACAATGAAGGAAGAGAAATATTGAGATAAGATATTTGTGGCCTCTTTTGATGTGCCACAGGTGGCACACCAAGCCATATCAGTGGGCATGTGAGCATTGCCCTAGCTCAGCTCCAGCGCGCATGCGTGCACCACCCAGCTGATTTTCAGGCCTTCCGGGTCCACCAGAAGTTGACAAATGGGCTGTTTCCAGCCTCCGGAAGGCCTCTGGGGGGGGAGGCCGTTTTCACCCTCCCCAGGTTCCTAGAAAGGCTCTGGAGCCTGGGGAGAGCAAAAAGTAGGCCTACCAGGCCCACCGTGCCATCACGTGCCAAAAGTGGGGGGAGCGTGGGGGTCGCGAGCGAATGTGCGCGGGGGGGGCTGCAATGAATTATGGGTGTGGGCACACATGTGTGTGACTGCCTCCACGCTCCCCCCGCTTTTGGCACACAACAGTAAAAAGGTTAGCCATCACTGGTCTAAAGCATTATTTCCCAACTTTGGCAACTTTAAGATGGGTGGACTTCAACTCCCAGAATTCCTCTTCCAGCATGTGTCAGGTCCAGAAGAACAGATCCATACATGAAGGTCAATTAAACTGATTTATTCCTAATTATACCGAGGCACTGAAATCTACTCAACTAACAGCACCTGCTTGGAGTTAAATAAAGATCAACGGAATTCAAAGGAAGTTAAATTTAGTTCACTTGTGGCTACATAGGGATTCTAGGCTGATCCCTCATTGAACTCCACCCCCAAGTTCTGTCACTCTTTCTACAAGTGGATGTGCAAGTTATTTGCTCTTTATAGGCCTTTACATCTACATAAGCTTGGAACTCTTTCTTGCATTGGAACCATGGAATCTTTTTAACTTAAAAGAAGAATTTGACAGGAGTTTAAGGGATACTTACAGCCACAATATATACTCTGATTAGAACATTCACTGACTGATTTGGGGGTAGGCCTTGCAGAATTCTCAGAGAACCTCCGTCGCTTGAGGAAGAGTCTTCAGGGGTTTTGTATATGCAGAAGGAGCCCTTCGGTAAATATATACATTACTAAATTACTCAGGTCAAACAAACTCAGGAAATGCAGACAGAAAACCCCAATCATTTTGGAAATTATTCCCCTCCCAATCTTATATTGGTGCTCTTCTTTAATTTCTTCTTAAGGACAAGATTGGACTGTCATTTGTAAGAAATGGTGTAGGGTCTCCTGCTTGGGTGGGAGGTTGGACTAGATGACCTACAAGGTCCCTTCCAACTCTGGTACCCTGTTTCCCCCAAAATAAGACGTCCCCTGATAATAAGCCCAATCAAGCTTTTGAGCGCATGGCAATAAGGCCAAGCGCTTATTTCAGGGTTCAAAAAAATATAAAACAGGGTCTTATTTTCGGGGAAACACGGTAATCTGTAATCTGTAATGACTGCAGGATGTTGTGACAACCTTATTTAATATTTTAGTCACTTCTAGCAATATCTCGGCAGTGTTATTTTAAGCCAAGTATTCAAAGGAATAAAACAGATGTGGATAGCAGCTCCGCAATCAATGTTTAGATTTTCAGGCTTGTTTATTTGCTGTTAGGTTGCTTACCTTAGTCTGGCAATTATAAGATTAACAAACTTGGAACAACAGGGCAGTGCTGTATTTTTGTTGACTTGCCAAAGTAAAAACACGAATACTATTTGACAGCTGGATTAAAGTCTATAAATCTTAACTGGTGAGATTCTAACTAAACTAAAAGAAAAAAAAATCACAAGTTCAACTCTTATTTTTCTCACTATATAAGGAAACTTGGAGAAATTGGTGATGGTGCAATATGCAACTAAATATCATTTTTATGGCATCTAAAATACTTTCTGGCTACACTGCCAAAGTTCAGTGGCATGGTTTTGAAATATGAAAAGATGTGTCAACTATGTAATACTTTAGTGCATCTCAACCAGGGGTGAAATCCAGCAGGTTCTGACAGGTTCTGGAGAACCGGTAGCAGAAATTTGAGTAGTTTGGAGAACCGGCAAATACCATCTCTGGCTGATGCCAGAGTGAGGTGGGAATGGAGATTTTGCAGTATCCTTCTCCTGGAGTGGGGTGGGAATGGAGATTTTGCAGTATCCTTCCCTTGGAGTGGGGTGGGAATGGAGATTTTGCAGTATCCTTCCCCTGCCACACCCACCAAGCCACACCCACCACGCCCACCAAGCCATGCCCACAGAACGGTAGTAAAAAAAAATTGGATTTTACCACTGATCTCAACTTCAGCAAATTTAAGATGTGTGGACTTTGGGTGGTTTGTCATGCTGGCTGGGGAATTCTGGGAACTGAAGTCTACACATCTTAAAGTTGCTAGGGCTGAGAACATTGGTGTATTTCATAAAATAGTATGGCTTAAACTTTAATGTACTGTAAGCCTAAACTTCTCCAAATAAGAGAAGGAAAGGAAGGAAGGAAAGGAAGGAAGGAAGGAAGGAAGGAAGGAAGGAAGGAAGGAAGGAAATCAAGACCACTCCAAAAATTGTGTCAAAACTAGAAAAACTTTCAGCATATTTTATTTAACCTTATCTACTTTGTAAACAATCTATGGCAGCCTTAACACTCCCGAAATTGTTCAATCACTTATATATAGGTTATCCACTTTTGTTCTGAAAATTATCTTCATTTGTCAATCAGTGAAGAGCTACAAAAATATTTGACCTCGTTTTGCTGCAGCATTTTGAGTAGTTTGGCTTATTGATCAAGATACCCCTCTGTCCACTTCTTAATATTTACATATAGATAGGTCAGTGTTCCTCAATTTCCAGAATGCAACAAGAGGTGTGGATTTCAACTCCCAGAATTCCCCAGCCAGCAAAGATCATTGAGGAACACAGCTGATTTAATTCTGAGGAAAAGCTGGGCTCTCAAGCTATGACGATAAGGTCATCTATGTTTGCACACTCAGAAGACTGAAGCAATACACAGCCTAATGAGTAACATGAATTTTTCTACAACACCGACCCTTGACATATCACACATATATTTTGTCCGTCTTGAACCATACCTTAAATTTCCCGACAATCCTGTCTTCAAAATCAGTATGATCTTCCTCAGTAATTTTGCCTCGAAAGAGTTCAAATGTTTTTACCCAGTCTTCAAAATTGTTGAACTCGCTCTCCAAATCGCCATCATAGACCTTAAGTGAGGAAAAAATGGACTAAAATTCACTACTAAGGAAGAAAAGGACAGGTCTTTTCTTTTCTGTATTATTATATCTTATTCACATGTATTCTGGTTTTTTTCATTGATGTTTTTGCTATTTTGTTACTATATTTTAGGAATAAATTGCTTTGATTACTTTCTTTTCTATTTCCTATGTGCCTTGCCTGGAGAGGGATGGCTAACCTTTTTCCTGTCGCGTGCCAAAAGCGGGGGGAGAGCGGGGGGATCGTGCGTTTCCGTGCCCACACCCATAATTCAATGCCCACCCCTGCCCTGCCCTCCCGCACGCGTGCTCCCCCCGTGCTCCCCCCGCTTTTGGCACGTGATGGCACAGTGGGCCTGTTTTTCACTCTCCCCAGGCTCCAGAGTCTTTCTAGGAGCCTGGGGAGGGCAAAAACGGCCTTTCTCAACCCCCCTGGAGGCCAGAAACAGTCCATTTTCCAACTTCCGGTGGGCCCGGAAGGCCCGAAAATCATCTGGCCGGCGGGCACATGTGTGCTGGAGCTGAGCTAGGGCAACGCTCGTGTGCCCTCAGATATGGCTCCTCATGCTACCCGTGGCACCTGTGCCATAGGTTCACCATCACAGGTCTAAACTATGCTATATAGATAGTCCTCGATTTATGACTACTACTGAGCCCAAAATTTCTGTTGCTAAGTGAGAAATTTGTTAAATGAATTTTGCCCCATTTTACAGCCTTTCTTGCCACAGTTGTTAAGTGAATCACTGCAATTGTTAAGTTAATAACACAGTTGTTAAGTGAATCTGGCTTCCCTATTGACTTTGCTTGTCACAAAAGGAAATCACAAAAGGTAATCAGGACACTACAACCGTCATAAATGTGAGTCAGTTGCCAAGCATTTGATTTTTGATCACATGACCATGGGGCTGCCGCAACAGTCATAAGTGTGAAAAACGGTCATAAGTCACTTTCTTCAATGCTATTGTAACTTAATATAGTCACTAAATGAATTGTTGAAAGTCGAGGACTACCTGTAATTCATAAATTTATCAAATAAACAACAACCTTTCAGTGTAGCACTGCACTGTATACAGCAAGTTTAATGATGTTTCCTGTCAGTTGTGTAAAACAAGCTTCTATGTCCAGAAATTTGAAACAATCATTGATACAAAATAAGACGTATACTCTTGCTTTCATAATTGAGATCTTTTTTTTGATCCAGAAGATCTCCTCTTATGTGCCTTATTTTATTCAGAGGAGTTGTCAGGCCTGGAAGATCAGGTCCACATGTGAAGGTCCTTATTAAACACATTTATTGCTAAAACACCTGTGCACAGGAATGTTCTCAACTAATGGTTAGCATTTGCTTGGAATTAGATAAGGTGAAAGAAATTCAAGGGAGGTTGGACTTAGTCTGCTTGTGGCTACATAGAAATTCTAGCAGTGGTGAAATCTAAAATTTGTTACTACCGGTTTTGTGGGCGTGGCTTGGTGGTGGGGGGTAATGTGACTGGGTGGGTGTGGCCATTTTTTTTTTTACTTTTAAAACCAGCGAAGAGGTTGTAAAAAAATGCTTTCAAAAGCCTCTGACGATCCCAGCTGAGTTGCCTGATTGGCAGAGGCTTTTTTTCTTTTAAATGCCTCTGATGATCAGGCAACTCAGCTTGGATCGTCAGAGGCATTTAAAAGAAAAAAAGGGTTTTTTTCTTTTAAATGCCTCTGATGATCCAAGCTGAGTTGCCTGATCAGCAGAGGCTTTTTTTCTTTTAAAAGCCTTTGACGATCCCAGCTGAGCCGCGCAATCATCAGAAGCTTTTTTTTTTTTACTTTTAAAAGCATTTTTTCGGCCGAAGAGGTTGTAGAAAAAAATGCTTTTAAAAGTAAAAAAAAAAAGCCTCTGATTGTGTGGCTCAGCTGGGCATGGGAGGGGGGGGCAGGGATTTTTGCTACCGGTTCTCCAAACCACCCGCCTCCATCACTACCGGATCGGGCGATCCGGTCCGAACTGGGAGCATTTCACTCCTGGATTCTAGGCTGATCCCTCTTTTAACTTCTCCCCCACTCCTTCTCCTATAGGAGTACAGAATTATAACTGGTTTCATTTCACACTGAATACCAACTATCCTGCATTCCTCAAATACTGTACTAATGTTCCAAACTGGGATTTCAGTTTTCCAAATGAAATCAGTATAAGTATGAAATATTCTCAGACCTGCATGAATCATAATGAACTTTACCTCCATGGTGGCTAGCTTGGAAGAAATCTCTGTCACTTTGGCTTTCAGCAATTTCTCTTTCTTCTTTTTATCTGGCTCATCTTCGGTGCTAAAGCTTACAGAGTTTGTCGTGTCTTTTGCTATAAAAATGAAAGCAGAGTTATTATAATTGTAACGGCCCTGACAAAAATAGAACTGCTAGGTATGGGCTGTACAAATCCAGACCAAAATCCAGTTAGATGGCAACTAAAAGTTTCTGCTTGCTCCCATCAAGATTTCTGCACCAAGGATGAAACTCAAGGCTATGATCACTGAAAGTACAATTGAAGCTGGCAACCCAACCAAATAAGTAACTCTAAACATGCTGGCTGAGGAATTCTGGAAATTGAAATCCACAAGTCTTAAAGTTGCCAAGTTTGTAGATCTCTGCTATAAACTCTGCTATTAATGCCAAAAAACTGCTTGAGTTTTGCTTCTGTTCAGGCCCACCCATTCTGTACGGATACAGATTAACAGAGTTGGAAGGGATCTTGTAGGTCATCTAGTCCAACACACCTCCACCCCCACCCAAGCAGACCCTACACCATTTCTGACAAATGGCTGTCCAGTCTCTTCTTGAAAGCTTCCAGTGATGAAGCTCCCAGAACTTCTGAAGGCAACTTCTGTTCCATTGGTTGATTGCTCTCACTGTCAGAACATTTCTCCTTATTCCCAGGTTGAATCTCTCCTTGTTCAGTTTCCATCCATTGTTCCTTGTCTGGCCTACAGGTGCTTTAGAAAATAGCTTGGCCCCCTCCTTTCTGTGGCAGCCCCTCAAATATTGGAACACTGCTATCATGTCTCCCCTGGTCCTCCTCTTCACTAGACTAGCCATGCCCAGTTCCTGCAACCGTTCATCCTATGTTTTAGTCTCCAGTCCCCTAATCATCTTGGTTGCTCTTTCTGCACTTTTTCTAGAGTCTCGATATTTTTTTATAGCGTGGTGACCAAAACTGGATGCAGTACTCTAGGTGTGGTCTTACTAAGGCTTTATAGAGTGGTATTAGTACCTCACTTGATCTTGATTGTATCTCTCTGTTAATACAATTTAGGATTGCATTGGCTTTTTTGGCTGCCACCACACACTGTTGGCTCATGTTTAATTGATTGTCCACTATGACTCCAAGATCCCTCTCACAGTTACTTGCTATTAAGCCTGGTTTCACCCAGTCTATATGTGTACTTTTGGTTTTTCTTACCTAAGTGTAAGACTTTACTTTTCTCTACATTGAATTTCATTTTGTTAGTACATTTCCATATTTCCACAGGCATAGCATTCACACTCTTCACACCATACTTCTTTGTTTTTCACACTTCCTTTTGATTTAAATAGCTCTTCATAAATAACCACACTATTTAAATAGCCTTTGAGTTTAGGTCTGGCAAAATATTTCAAAGTTCTTCAAACCAGCATTCAGATATTCCAAGCCAACATTTGATGCATTGGGCCATATTTTCTATGAAAGCCTATACTGTATTTACCAAGACAACAAGGGGAACAATGACGCATGGTGTCAGTATTTCCAGGTAGATCAAACAAGAAATGTGGCAGTTAGGCTAATTCTACTTTATTGTACAGCTACCTTAACAGAATCTTGCAGAATCTCTGGCTGTCTCCTTTACAGCTTGAGAAACTAGAGAGGGTCCCTTCCGAATCTCTTTCTCCATCCATTATACAGTTGTGGACTACGCCCTCTCTTATTTGACCATTCCCTAGGCAGTATCTCTTTTTCCCCTCTCCAAGATCTTTCCCACATACCTCTCTACACATAGGCTGCTAAACAGGGCTGCTAAAGCTGCATTTCAAATGAGGGCAAAATTATACTGAACATGAATACAGAATCAGAAAGAACAATTCTGTATAATTTGGCTAACTGATTAAAACACTTCACTCAGGGACAGATGCAAATAACCTGCATAATTAAATCTCCCAGAAGTTCTGCTGTGTCAGTGGTTTAATGATTAAAATTCCACTCACCTTCACCAACTTCCCAGCTAATAACAAGTATACAAAAGATGAGATTATGAGCCACCATCTTCTTAATAAAACTTCTCTAAGATGCTATAGCTTGAATTAACCCGCTCCTTTCCTGCAGTCCATCTCTCTGCTCATTTACACTAGAAATTTAGACTAAGCACTCAAGTTTAGGGCCAAAGTAGACCATGAATGCCCAGCATTTCTCCATGTTTTCCTTGCCAGTAGTAACTAGAGAGGTGTATATCAGAAGCACAACCAGAGGGGAGGGAAAATTAAACGACACCCTTCCTATATAATCTCAGTTAGAAATTTCTACAAGAGGAATGGCCAAATAGCCTCACATACCATATGAATGCAAAAACAGGTCTTATTGTATTACTTTGAGTCTGTTTTCTGCAGCCATGGATCCCATCTATGAAATTGCAGTAGGGTAGGAAAGAACCTACTGTGGCAAATTCTCCATGAAGAAGGATCTTGAAACAAATTTCTACTTTGTCATTCAGAATCTTCTTCTATGTAGAAATGCCTTAAATATGCCTTTTGATATCTACATAGAGATCTTTCTGAAATGTGCTAAACTTCTGAATCTTGTTAGCATGGCTGGCTGGGGAATTCTGGGAGTTGAAACAGGTCTTCAGGTTGCCAAGGCTGGACACCCCTGATGTAGACCATCCACATTTGCCTCCAACATACTTGAGGTAAAAGTCTTTTGCATTCCAGTAATCCAGTGGTGAAATCCAATTTTTTTTACTACTGGTTCTGTGGGAGTGGCTTGGTGGGCGTGGTGTGGCTTGGTGGGCGTGGCTTGGTGGGCATGGCAGGGGAAGGATACTGCAAAATCTCCATTCCCCCACCACTCCAGAGGAAGGATACTACAAAATCCCCATTCCCTCCCCACTCCTGGGGGAAGGATATTGCAAAATCTCCATTCCCATCCCACTCTGGGGCCAGCCAGAGGTGGTATTTGCCGGTTCTCTGAACTATCCAAAATTTCCGCTACCGGTTCTCCGAATTGCTCAAAATGTCTGCTACCGGTTCTCCAGAACCTGTCAGAACCTGCTGGATTTCACCCCTGCAATAATCCCATATTTTCTATATATCTGTTTTAGTGGATATAGGGAACTCTGAATACTCCATGGGACTCTCAAAGGTGCTTTTTCAAAAGGCAACTGGACATTGTTTTTCTTTGAAGACGTTTCGCTTCTCATCCAAGAAGCTTCCTCAGTTCTGTTCAGAACTGTTCAGAACTGAAGAAGCTTCTTGGAGGAGAAGCGAAAGGTCTTCAAGGAAAAACAGTTGCCTTTTGAAACAGCATCTTTGGGACAATCAGGTGATATGAATGAGGAGGAACTGCCATGATAATGGACTTCTCTTTCTCCTTCTACAAGTGAGATTTTCAGTGGGATCAAAAGTTCCTTTTCCAGGGAAAGATATATTCTGTAGGCAAACAGACATTTTGGATATAGATCATTTAGAATATACCAGAATACCGGTTGAGTGTGAGTATTCTTGAGAGAATGGACTGTTACCATTTACTATGAAAAAAACTATTAATAAAAATGTAAATATCTACTTACATGTTCCTGGTTTTCCATCATTGAAATCCAAGACTTTTGCCTTTGGAAATAAATTGAAAAGTTTAGATACTTATGAAAATACAGATCAAGCTACTTAACTGCAACCCAGCTCTAACCTATTTACTTTCTGTTATTTAATTATTTACCTAGGGATGGAGGCAAATATATATGTCCCAAGATAATGTTGCAGGATCCAACGGGGTCGATCACCAGGACCGGTTTTGTCTTCTGAGCTTTCGGACTCATGCTGGAACCCATCTTTAGGGAACTTCTCTCTAGCAGTGTGTGTGCTATTCTCTGTGTGGTATTTATATGGCGCCTGTTGTATGTGGCTTTTTAGATGTTGACTGGGGTGTTGATGGCTGGCCATTAAATTGTTGGCTGTGGTTTGCTTGTGCTGCCCAGCCCTTGCCTTCTAAGTACTTGATAATCTGGTGGTAAATAAGCACTCCTGTTGACTGACGATGGGCCCGTTTCCCAGGCTTCAATCACTTCCCTGGCTGTTTTTGTGCCTGCTCGTCCAACAATCTTAGTAGCTGCAAAATTGAATGTATGTCCTTGTTCATTGCAGTGTGAGGCTACCAATGAGTTCAGGACTTAATTAGGAATACTTTTCTTTGCTGGAAACTCTCTCTCTCTTTCTCCCTCCCTCTCCCTCTCTCTCCCCCTCCCTCCCTCCTTTCCCCCCCCTCTCTGTATGTGTTTGAAATGTCTGAAAAGGAGCTATTCCTACTCAGGAAAAAAAACTTCAATCCTAAAAAAAAATTATATCACATAGAGAAATAGATTAAAATGTATATTATGACTTTGCCTACCTTTTGTACTTTTTGTATTGAAGCATAATACTTCGACCACCAATCAATGACATTTTCAGCAGATTCATCAGCAACAGTTCTTTTTTTCCTCTTGGTAGAGCGGTAAATTGATTTCGTCCGGTCCTTAAAAAATGTTACAGGTAAAAAAAATGACTTTTGCTTGGAGTCATTTTTTTAAAATGTACTTTTGTATCTATTTTTAATTATATCAACACAGTTATTCCCTAACAAATGGTTCCAATTTATACAAGTGTCTAAGACAAAGAAATACTGAATATGAATGTTTTAAATCTGGTTCTCTTCTAGGATGATGAATCATAGGCCCATATACTCTAGTTTGTCAGTGTTCCAGAAAGTCCCCAACTCCAAGTAAAAACTCTGAGGCAGGTATTTCTCAAAGTTCATTTAGTAGAGAAGGTAAACAGGCACATCTGGGAAAACCCAAATCTGAGAGTTCCCGTTTTCCCTCAGTAAATCAAAACCCCAAATCCAGCCCCTGCACCCATCAGTCTGTCACATGGCCCAATCACCATCTGTCCCAACTTGAGCCATCCCTGCAACCACTCCTCCTCTAGGTGCATAAACACCATGACCTTGACCGAAGGGAAGAATGCTATTATGTCTAACTACAATCACTCCTCTAAATCTCCCCTCCCACTTTCCCAAGCGCAAGAAGTTGGCAGCGGGGAAGCTTCTGGTGCTAATAATCCTATGGCATTTCTGGACTCCTACGTAAATAGATAGCTTCCTTCCTGTCAAACAGACAACAAGTGGTCAAAATAGGAAGCGCTCTATCAAATCCTGTACATGTTAATAGTGGTGTCCCCCAAGGCAGTGTCTTAGGTCCAACACTCTTCATACTTTACATAAATGACCTTTGTGATCATATTAAAAGCAACTGTGTTCTCTTCACTGATGATGTTAAACTATTCAACACCACCAACAATGCAACTACCCTTCAAAAAGACCTTGACTATGTGTCAGATTGGTCTAACAAGTGGCAACTCCAAATATCAACCAACAAATGCTCTGTCTTGCACATTGGCAAAAAAAAAAATCAAAACATAAAATACAAATTAGATGGACATGACCTTGTAGATGATCTTCACTCTGTCAAGGACCTTGGAGTACTCATTTCTAAAGATCTAAGTGCCCGAGCCCACTGTAACAACATTGCCAAAAAAGCATTAAGAGTTGTTAACCTAATCTTGCATAGCTCCTTCTCTGGTAATGTTGTACTACTAACTAGAGCATACAAAACATTTGCTAGACCAATTCTTGAATGCAGTTCATCTGTCTGGAACCCACACTACATATTGGGCATAAATACAATCGAGAGAGTCCAGAGATATTTTATGAGAAGTGTCTTCCATTCCTCTAACCGCAATAAAATACCTTATGCCACCAGACTTCAAATTTTGGGCTTAGACAATTTAGAACTACGCCGACTTCAGTCTGACCTAAGCATAGTACATAAAATTATCTGCCACAATGTACTTCCTGTCAATGACTACTTCAGCTTCAACCACAACAATACACAAGCAAATAATAGATACAAACTCAAGGTAAACTGTTCCAAACACGATTGCAGAAAATATGATTTCAGTAACAGAATGGTCAATGCCTGGAATGCACTACCTGACTCTGTAGTTTCTTCCCGAAACCCCCAAAACTTTAACCTTAAACTGTCTACTGTTGACCTCACCCCATTTCTAAGAGGTCTGTAAGGGGCATGCATAAGTGCACCAGCGTGCCTACCGTCCCTGTCCTAATATTCCTTTTCACTTACTCTTTTCATGTATTCATTATGTTTATACTTTTACCTGTTATCTGATATATGCTTGACAAACTAAACTAAACTAAACTAAACTAAACTAAACTAAACTAAACTAAACTAAACTAAACTAAACTAAATAGTTAGTAGTTAAAACACCAGGCTAAAAACTAGGAGAAAGTGAGTTCTAGTCCCACCTCAGGAATGAAAGCTGGCCAGGTAACTTTGGACCAATCACTAGGAGATTATCAATTCTAATCCCGCCTCAGTCATTGAAGCAGCTAGGTGACGTTGGGCAGTCACTCTCTCTCAGCCCAACTCACCTCATAGGGCTGTTTTAGTGAGGAAAACAGGAGCATGAAGAAATATTAGCTGTGTTCAACATTTTGAGTTATTTATAAAAATAGTAAAAATGAGATTAATTTTATACACCCATTTTTCTTTTGTGCTCTTTCTGTTTTTTTCAAATCAGGCCTATGTTGAGCTATAGCATTAGATTATATAACAATTTTCAGCATGGTTACTCACCCTACTTTATGTTCCTATAAGGAACAAGCTATAAGGAATAGCTTCATGATCCATAGCCTTTCGGGTATTATAATGTGACATTATGGTACCATAGTCATATAGATACAGTCTATTAGATTTTATGCATTTCTGTTTGTCATGGCCATGAGGCCCAAAAGGGCAGTATGGCTGCATCTGGTCATAACCACCCGTTTAGCACAGCCCGGGGAGCATGTGTAGCTTACGGAAAGCTACGGATGCAACAGTAACAGAGTTGGAAGGGATGTTGGAAGTCATCCGGTCCAACCCCCTGCTCACACAGGAGACCTGTACTAGAGATTCGAACCACCAAACTGCCGACCTTTCTGATCGACAAGTGTCTTAGCCACTGAGCCACCTAGTCAGGCTGACTCCAAGGAAACACAGGTTCCTTGACAAGGCCTGAAAGGAGTATACTTTTTGGAAAATTATGTCAAGTCCCTTGAGGGTAAAAGATATGAGGAGAATAAAAGATCCTGAGGCCGAGATTAACAGAATAACAGAGTTGGAAAGGACCTTGGTGGTCTTCTAGTCCAACCCCCAGCTCAGGCAGGAAACACTACACCACTTCAGACAAATGGTTGTCCAAGCTCTTCTTTAAAAACCACCATGGTTAGAGCGCCCACAACTTCTGAACGCCGGTCTTTTCACTGATTTACTGTTCTGTCAGGATGCGATACAGTGTGAAGAAGTGCCTCTGCCCTGTATCAGTGGGGATGGAAAGATTTCCCTTGTTGCGATTGTGGTACTGATATGCAAACTATTAAACTGATTGTGAAAGATTGTCCACGACGTGTGATCTCTGGTTCCATAGAAAATTTGCACAAAGCAATGCCAATTGGACATCCAGTTGTGAGGCCACTGCCATACCCCCTTAGAGGTTTTGTATATACAGGTAGTCCTTGATTTACAACAGTTCCTTTAGTGACCATACAAAGTTACAGCGGAACTGAAAAAAGTGAATTATGACCGGTTTTCACAGTTACAACTTTTGCGGCATCCCCATGATCATGAGATCAAAATTCGGGTGCTTGGCAACTGGTTCATATTTATGACCATTGCTGTGTCCCAAGGTCATGTGATCCCCTTTTGCAACCTTCTGACCAGCAAAGTCAATTGGAAAGTCAGTTTCACTTAACAACTAGGTTACTAATTTATCAACTGTGATGATTCACTTAACAATCGAAGTAAAAAAAAGGTCATGAAATGGGGCAAAAGTCACTTAACAAATGTTTCACTTAACAACAAAAATTTGGGGCTCAATTGTGATCAAGGACTACTTGTAATTACATAGATTGTCTGTATACATTTACTTTTCTTCTGTCATGTTCTCATCAAACAATTAACAACTGTGTTATTAATTTAACAACTGCACTCAGTGGTGGGTTGCCCCTGGTTTGGACCAGTTCGCAAGAACCGGTAGTAAAACTGGCGGGGAGGCTCCGCCCACCGCCCTGGATGTCGTCATCGGCGATCTGCGCATGCTCACTTCATTCTCGCGCACGATCCCATTGCAAACCGGTAGTAAAGGTAAGTAGAACCCATCTCTGACTGCAGTGCTTCACTTAACAGCTATGGCAAAAGAGGTCATCAAACGGGGCAAAATCCCCTAACAACTGTTTCACTTGGCAATAGCAATAGCACTTAGACTTATATACCGCTTCATAGTGCTTTTACAGCCCTCTCTAAGCGATTTACAGAGTCAGCCTATTGCCCCAAACAATCTCGGTCCTCATTTTACCCACCTTGGAAGGACGGAAGGCTGAATCAACCTTGAGCCTGATTTGAACTGCCAAATTGCAGGCAGCCGGCAGCCGGCAGGCAGCAGAAGTAGCCTGCAGTACTGCACTCTAATCACTGTGCCACCATGGCTTAGCAACATAAATGCTGGGCTCAATTGCGGTCATACGTCGAGGACTACCTGTATGTGTTTTTGAGCTTGGTATATTTTTTGCACCTTGTATGCATTGTCTAGTGGAAAATGCAAAAAGCTCTAAATTGGATGTTACGTACTTTTAGTTTTCCATCTTTTGAAGGTCTAGAGGAAGATGCTAATGAAGGTTTCCGTGAAGGAGCTGGTGGTAGCAGCGGGGGTGATAGGGGAACATGTACTTCTGCCTCAGGTTTTGGGATGGCTAAATGAGGCTCTCCATGTTCCACGTCAACATAAATGTGATCTGACGGAGGTGATTCAAATTGACTTGTGTGAGGTGGTGTTGGAGCAGCAGCTGGAGCAGGTGATGCTGGAAAGAAGTCAATATATAAAATTAAACAAGGAACGTCATGTGGGAAACCACCCCCCTCCTAGAAGAATGAAATATTTTGAGAAATATTAAAAAAAGACAGGACAAAGTATTTCCCCTAAAAGAGAAATAAAAATATTAAGAGACAGAAACTCAGAGCCCCAGCTCCCTGCCCCCAACAGATATTTTCTGCCAATTGAGAAAGATTGGGCCAGCCTATCTACAAAACAAAAAACCTTCAGCTCTAGGATGATGGGATTAAGATATGACCCTTCAGGACATAATAGGATTAACCCTTTACCATTTAGCAAGGACATTGCATCACCCTCCAAACTTCAACCAAACTTAGCTCAGACAACCTATAGAGCCAGCTATGACCCCTACATAACCCCTACAGCAGCCAATAGAATATCTGTTCTTGCACAGGAACAGGAAGCTCAAAAACAGAGCCCAGAGAGGGTATAAAAGTCACCCACTCTCAACTCCATATGGTCAGCTGCCCAGAACCTATGCAGTTGTGCTTCATTATTAAACCAAATTTCCAATCAGCCTCCATGTTTCCAGTGCCTTTCTCCTGGCTTGGAACTGAACCAGATGGATATTTCTTCCAACAAACATCTGTTCAATGTTCTAAACCAGAGGTGAGGAACTATGGCCTCTTTATAACTTGTGGACTTCAACTCCCAGAATTCCTGAGCCGGCCATGCTCAGAATTCTTGAGTCAGGCATTGAGTTCTACCCACAGTCACCATTTTGGCCAGCAGTGGCACCACGGGCCGGTCCTTTGATATTTCTAGGACAGATTTAAGCTGCCCGCAGGACAGATCTGGCCTATGGGCCTCGAGTTTGACACCCCAACCTATAGGATTACCCTTATCAGACCTATATGCCACTACCACCTACCCTTCCATGCTGCTCAGCTCAACAATATAAAAGAAACAAACATGAAAATTTAACAATGAGATATTAACCAATAAATCCTGCTAAAATAGATGTCATAAAAACAACCAACTCAGTGGTGGGTTTCAAATTTTTTTTACTACCGGTTCTGTGGGCATGGCAGGGGAAGGATACTGTAAAATCTCCATTCCCACCCCACTCCAGGGGAAGGTTACTGCAAAATCCCCATTTCCTCCTGATCAGCTGGGACTTGGGAGGCAGAGAAGAGATGGGGGTGAGGCCAGTCAGAATTTTTACTACCAGTTCTCCGAACTACTCAAAATTTCCGCTACCGGTTCTCCAGAACTGGACAGAACCTGCTGAAACCCACCTCTGAACCAGCTCCACTTAATAGCAATAGCAGCTTGGTCTCCAAGGCCTTGCATCTTCACAGCTCTATGAGAAGAAAGGAGGGTGGATTCTGACAGGACCTTTGGCATGACTTACCTTTGTCCACTTCTACAATATCAGCTCCTTCAGCTAAGGAAACAAGAGGTTCCTTGAGTTTATGCAGAAACTGCTTAAGGCAGTTGATGGTGTGGGTCCCCACTAGAGTGCTACGGCCAAAGGCTCTCCAGTCAACCACACAGATGCTTAGAGGAGGGTGCAGAAGTTCATTTTCGGGCAATTCCTAACAATGGAGAAACATAAAAGAACCAGTCAGATCTTTCCTTATCTTCTCAAAATGGCATTTTTCATCATTTCCTTTCTGCACATTTTAGTTCTAACTGGAAATGAGTTTTCTATCAAATCCTACAAGAAAATCCTCTGGCGATTGGATTTCTGTAATTTACTTGAGATGATTTGTGTTCTGAATTTTTACAGAAGCCGGATTTCTTTAAATTTCATGTCTTATACTCAATAGAAAGGCCACTGGTGTTTTAGAACCTTTCATCATCTATTTCCATCCAACATGTCCTTTGAACAATCCCATTAAATGTCACAAAGATTAAAATCTATTGGGTTTAAAAAAACTGCAGATGTTTTTTTTTTTAAAAAAATAACTTTAGTTGTAGTCCAACCTTACACAAACTTCTCAGTAAAAAATCCCATTTAATTTCAGACAATTTGTGATTTAAAAACAACAAGCCTCAGATCTTGCACCTAATAAATTCCAGTTATTAGATTCACCTTTTTATTCATTTTAATTAAAGTCACGTTTGAAGTCTAAATCCATTTATTGATTCATAAGAACCTTGGAGCAAGTGACTTGTCATAATTTGTTCTTGCCAAACTTGGATAACATGCTATGGTGGATAGACTTTTATATTAGACACAATTTATTTGATTAGTCTACCTGATTAATTTTTTATGAAACATAAATTCTTTGATTATCACTTCAATAGGAGCGTATTGAACTGACACTTCTGAAACTGCATACAAATTAAGATAATTAAAACATCAAAGCCATACTTGTCCAAATGTTCTAATGAACTTCACCAATCATAAAGTGCACAGCAAGATATATACATTATGCAAAGATCTAAAATAAGTATATTATCTGATAATGTGAAAAACAAAAAAAAGCACAAACGAATTATAAATTTGCAAACTATATGCATGAATTCTCAGTATTTTTTAAAGAAAACATTCTTAAACATGTAGAAAAGAAATGAAATGAAACAGACTGATAAATAAGCAATCAAACAAAATCAGATTCAGCAAGTTTTCTCTCTTTGTTACACAAGCTAAAGAGAGAGTGGGGGGAGAGATTGATTTATACCCTCTCTTGGTCCCCGCCTTAGAGCTTCCTGTTCCTGTGTCAGAGCAGGTATTCTGATTGGTTGTCAGACACCCATGGGGCCATGCAGGTGTAGGTTGTCTTGAGTCCCAAACCTGGTTGAATCTTGCTGGGTGATGATGTGATGAAGGGGCTTTGGGCAATTCCTATTATGGCTTTGTCCTAAACTGGCCCAGTCTTTGTCTTGTAAATAGGTTGGCACCAAAATATCTGCTGGAGGGGGGGCAGGGAGCTGAGGCTCTGTGTTTATGTCTTTAGAAACATGTTCCTCCTTTAGGGAAAATATAATATTCTTTTTAATATTTCCTAGAATACTTCATTTTTCTAGGAGAAGGGTGGGTGCTAACTTTCTACAACCTTAATGCTGTAATCAACAATCCTATAATATTTCTCTTAAAATTATATGCCAGATGCTGCTAGAAATGTGAAGTATATAGGGCGCAATTAAAGTTAGCAAAAAACAATGCAAGAGGAGTTTGGGAAGTTAAACCTTCCATTATTTTCTTTCTGGACATAGTTTCTTAAAACAATATGGTAAGAATTTCCTCTCTCCTGTGCAGTCAGCGTTAGGGATAAAAATTTCGTGGGTATGAACAGTACTGTAATTCTAACTGTTGGTTATTAGCTCTCCCACAAGAATGGCAGCTGAAAAAGGTAGGAAAGTTATACTTAATGCCATTTGACATTTTAAAAATGAAATGAAACTCACAATCGGATTGTATTCTCTTACTTCAACCATATTTTAAGTGTCAGGCCCCGTGAGCCAAGATAAACAAGTGGAATTACTTCTGAGCCATTTCCCTTACTGTTCCTCACCTATAGAGGGAAATCTTGCTAAACTAAAGCAACTATTTGCATCATATAATAATAGCAATAGCACTTAGACTTATATACCGCTTCATAGTGCTTTGCAGCCCTCTCTAAGCGGTTTACAGAGTCAGCATATTGCCCCCAACAATCTGGGTCCTCATTTTACCAACCTTGGAAAGATGGAAGGCTGAGTCAACCTTGAGCCTGATGAGATTTGATCTGCCAAACTGCTGGCAGCCAGTGATCAGCAGAAGTAGCCTGCAGTACTGCACTCTAACCACTGCGCCACCGGGGCTCATATGCTCTGAGAATTGCTAGGGAGGAGCCATGTTAACTCTCTTCCTCCCAACCAAATTATCTAAGCTTCCCTGCCTCTTTGGCCTCTGGAATGCAGCCCCTCCCACCTGGGAATCCAGACTGCATTCCACTACAGTAAGGCAAGCTGTAAGCTAAGTGATTTGTTCAAAGTTATCCACTGTCCTTCAGAACTAAATCAAACCTGAAGCTCATGTCTCCCATGGGTTGCATTGTGCTAGACAATTGAATTATTCTTATGAAATTCTATCTAATTCTATTGCATCCTTTTAATCAAAAGGCAAAGATTGCAAAGATGAATATATTTAGCAGAAATTTGTATGCATGTACCACTTCAAACCGGTCTGACAGGGTAGTAAAGTTAGGGTTTTTTTTGTAGCTCTGGATCACAGAGGATTTCACTCCTTTACTGGCACATTCAATGAAGACTTGGGGACGATCAACAGATAGAAACTGCACTTTCTTCAATTCCCGAAGACCCCAGAATAGAACCTGTGGCAGGGAAAGAAATAATATGTAACTTCTACAGAACTCGCTTCAGGGATCAATGTATTAAATACAACAACCCTTTAGAGGAGGTGATAATTTGGATCCTCACACTTCAGGTGGAGAGAGGAGAAGATAAAGTTGGTAAAAAGAGGATTGGCTGTGGATAGGTGGTGATTGGGTTGACCATGAAGCCATGAGATCAATCTTCTGTTTTTCTTTCGAGCAGCTTATAAAGCATAAAGCAACTGACCCCGGATTGTGTTAATTAACTAATTCATTAGTTAATAAGAAAGAGAAGTAAAAGAATCATTGAGGAAGAAGAGGCCCACAACTTAGATCTCTCTTTCTTGGCTAAGAATCTCAAAGTATAATGTCAACACACCATGAATTGCGAGGATCTATTTAAATGTGAGACAATCATGAGATCTCTCTCTCTCCCCCTCCTCCCTCCCTCCGTCTTTTAAGTGCAAAACATCTGGCAGGGAAAGAATGAAATCCATACAGGTGTGCATCAGAAGTACAAATGGATGTGAACAAACTCACTTTGCCTCAGCACATTTACATGCACTACACAAGGGCTCAGAGGATCATTAGGCGGTTCATTTATCTGAACTTACCTCTACTCTATATTTACTTAATACAGGTCGTATATTGGCTGGGACTGCATAGATTAGGCTGGCATCTGGAGGATCAAGAGGTGGAAGGTTTTCTGGGCCAGAATCAGGGACCTATAGTACAAAAACACATGTTATTGTTCAGCCGTGATGTTATTAAAAGCACTCTGAAAAAAAATCCTGCAATTCTCCCTGGAATTAACCTAATCATCTATTGATCAAATCAACAATCCTTCTGCCTCCAACTTTTAATTCAAATAAAATCTTCCTATAATGATCTTCTACATCTTCCTATAAACATCATTCTTACTGGAAACTATATAGATCTATCTAGGTGGTCACTAGAAGTCAGAATAAAACAAGAGTAAAATTGAATTCATTTATTAAAAATGAAATTGTTCCAAACTCACCTGAAGCAGCTCAAATGCAGCCAGAAGATCCCCCCCTGAAAGACTGCCACAGTAGAGAGGATGGTAACTAAGTTTTGGGGGCTCATATTTGTCCTCCACCAGCCTAGTTACTGGAGCAGCCACAGTTGCACCGATATATTCTGATTTTCCCTATATGTTTAAAAAGAAAAGAAAAAATACACAATGCCATTTATGTTCACATTCTGCTGATCCAGATAGCAGCATAGCAGCATGATAGCAGCATAGCAATATTAAATATCTGGATTCCACAGAAATTTGTTTATCTAGCTTAGTACTTCCATATGGCTTCAATCAATCAACTAAGTGGCCCAGAAGTCTACTGATAGATGTAGAAAACCCCTATCCATATGGCTGCTAAGAAACAACACTGATTTGATGGCACATAATCAATTAACACAGATTAAATGACAAGTGTGCCGTCATTTAATGAAATATACTAAACCCTTGGTGATATTTCAGAAGCAAGAATGGGCATCATGTCAATATTCCCTTAGTCAAGGTACAGTATGCAATTAGCTCACCTGAGCTCATTAAATTCTGATATCCTATATGTTGACCAACTCAAGATTTGGCAAGATAAGCATCCATTTCCCCCAAAGAACACCTGGGACCCATCACCCAAATTAAAATAATTGTGTACGATGCTTAACACTCATAGGACCCCCCCTGGTACCTTGTGGTGCCAACAATTTATTAGATCTCAGGTAACAACCCAGGAATCTTGCAGAAATTCCAACGAGACTTCAGATTGAAGCGATTGTGTTGTTCAGATGTTTCATTACCCAAACTAGGTAACATCATCAATGCACTGATGTTGTTTCCTAGGTGGATAATGAAACATCTGCAGGAAAACAAGCAAGCTCAGAGGGTACCAAGGAGCCCTCATTTCAACCCTGAGCTACAAATATTCTCCTTTATTGAGACTTCAGGGTCTTTTTTATGAGAGCCCAGTGAGAGATGGTTGAAATCATCCTTTCATAAAATTTGGGAGGATTTGGATAGGGACACCAAACCTGTAGTAAAATTGGGGCCTGGGGATTTTAAAATATGGATGTTTTGTTTCCAGGTAAGCATCTACTTCTCAAGGCTCTTATTTGACCTGTTAGATTAGTCTTCATTTGCCTGATTGAGGTTTTTTCCTTGTCCTTCTGGATTTTTTAATAGAATAGAATAGAATAGAATAGAATAGAATAGAATAGAATAGAGTAGAGTAGAGTAGAGTAGAGTAGAGTAGAGTAGGGTAGGGTAGGGTAGGGTAGGGTAGGGTAGGGTAGGGTAGGGTAGAATAGAATAGAATAGAATAGAATAGAATAGAATAGAATAGAATAGAATAGAATTACAGAGTTGGAAGGGACCATGTAGGTCATCTAGTCCAACCCCCCCACCAAGCAGGAGACCCTACACCCCTTTCTGACAGATGGCAGTCCAGTCTCTTCTTGAAAGCTTCCAGTGATGAAGCTCCCGCAATTTCTCCTTATTTCTAGATTGAATCTCTCCTTGATCAGTTTCCATCCATTATTCCTTGTCTGGCCTTCTGGTGCTTTGGAAAATAGGTTGACCCCCTCCCTCCTCTCTGTGGCAGCCCCTCAAATATTGGAAGACTGCTATCGTGTCCCCCTAGCATACAGTATATTAGATCCAACACTGTTGATTCCTAGAAAAGACAACAAATCAGTGTTTTACTCAGCTCTTTCACTGTATTAATAGAAGTAGAATATTTTTTTTCTAGAGCAGCCTCAGCTTCTATGTGTCATTTGCACCTTGCGCCTGACATAGTGATGCTTTCAAAAATATTTTTTTTAAAAAAAGCCTCTGCAATTCATTACATTGAACATTACATTACATTAAGCCTTTTTTTAAAAAAAAACATGTATATAAGTATCGGAAAATTATCTTTACCACAGCATCATCATCATAGAGTTCCACAATGATTATAGGAGGGAATTCGGCAATTTCCTTGGCTTCGCCATGAAGCTGAATATTATTAAAAAGCAACATCTGATTCCAAGTGGGAGACAAAGTTTGCTGAATGATCTACGGGAGAATGGAAAAAAATAGCATATTAACAATAGCGGGGCTTGCAAGAAGATATTGCAGTTTATTCTGGCAATTACCTGATATCTTTCAAAGCAAGTTAAAAAGGTTAAAACAGATGGTTGATTGTCTTTTTTCTTCAGTCTTTGGGTTTTTTTTAAATTATACTGTCTGACTATCTTTATTTCATGTTACCCACAATCACCACAGAGGCGGGTGATCGATTCAGCCAACAATTTACAGAATACATTTTCCTATACCTGCTCACATCTGCAGAAGGATTTCTTCTGGGTTGCATTATCTAATAACATCAAGCTTACCACGACCTTGTTCCTCTATGTCAGTTTCCCAGCCTCTGGAATTTTAAGATGTGTGGACTTCAACTCCCAGAATTCCCCAGCCAGCAATGTTATCTGATGAATTCTGGGAGTTGAAATCCACACATTTTACAATCCCCTAGGTTAGGGGTGTCAAACTCGATTCTATTGTTGTGGCCCGCCAGTGTACAGTGGACCTGGCAGCAGATTCGGACAGTGAGGAGACTAGAGAGGAACATGGGCCAGTCCTGGAGTCTGGGGAAGGCTCTGATGTGGGCTCTGCGTCAAAGGCAGAGAGGGGGCCAGCGCCATATGCCAGTTATCAGCTGCCTTTGGAGTCAGACATCAGTGAGGCAGACGAACAGCCGGAGCCTGTTCCCAGTATGCGCATGCGCAGAGTTGTCAGACGAAGGCAACAGCTAAAGAACAAGGGTCGACTTGGGAGTAAGGCCATAGGTGGATGATGAATGGCCCTTCCCAGAGGGAATAAAAGAGGAGCGAAAGGGGAGTGGAGTTTGCAGGAGACAATTAGTTCATTACTGCATTCTTGCCAAGTATTGCAGAGTCTGAAAGATATCGGCCTGGCCACTCTCCAACCCTAATAAAGGTCAGTAATTGTGAACTATCTTGAAAGACTGTGGGAGAAGAGAGACTTTGCTGGAGAGGAATTCGCTGTAAATTAAATAAAAGGGGTTTATCGGACAAGGACTCGGCTTCGTGCTGCTGGGGAAGCCTAGTCAGAACATCCATTGAGGGCAGCATCAAGGGTTTTTTGTTTGGGTGGGCATGGCCAGATCAATGTCACTCATTTTGGGGACGCCTGTGGTGACCCGAGCACACTGCCAGCAAAAACGGCCTCTCGAGCTCTGTATTCACCTGCGATGGCCTCCTGCAACCCTCTGCCAGCAAAAAGGGAGTTTAGGAGCTCCGTTTTTGCTGGCAGAGGCAATGCAGGCCAGTCCTTCACTGTTTCCAGGGTGGCCCAGCGGGCCATATCTGAGCACCCTGCAGGCCAAATCTGGCCTTGATTTTCACACCCCTGCCCTAGGTTGAGAAACACTGCTCTAACAACATTAATTATCCCCATTTTTCCTTACCTTTGTGGTCTGGCAGTGGGAAACAAAAGTCACTTTAGCAAAAGGATCCGAGAGGCCACTGCTGTCAGCTGCGATTAATCCTCTTGCTTGATACATGTGAGCTCTCAGTTGAAAAATATTCTTGGCTGCAAGCAGGTAATGGAGAGAGTTATGCATCTCGTTTGGGGATGAGCAGGAGCATGATAGAAACATGGTAGTAGGAGAAGGGACTATAAAAGAACATGGAACAGATTGTATTGTTTTTCTTCTAACTGATTCATGGTGGGATCAACACTATCTGGAAAATAGCCTAGTTCTTCCTTGGTTTTCCCCAGAGGAAAAAAATCCAGTTCAAGTTATATATTTTGTATAATCAAAATTGTATACTTTGGGCTTTTTCTTTCACTCCTTCCCCACCAACATATGAGCAGTATACAATTCTCTGCATCTAGTTTTTCAGTACTTCTTGGGCTGACCATGAGAACATTTACATGGTTATTTCAAGATGTAACAGTAACAGAGTTGGAAGGGGCCTTGGAGCAGGGGTGAAATCCAGCAGGTTCTGACAGGTTCTGGAGAACCAGTAGCGGAAATTTTGAATAGTTTGGAGAACTGGTAAATACCACCTCTGGCTGGCCTCAGAGTGGAGTGGGAATGGGAATTTTGCAGTATCCTTTCCCTGGAGTGGAATGAGAATGGAGATTTTTCAGTATCCTTCCTCTGCCCCGCCCACCAAGCTCCACCCCCCAAGCCACACCACGCCCACCAAGCCACACCCACAGAACCGGTTGTAAAAAAATTTGGATTTCACCACTGCCTTGGAGGTCATCTAGTCCAACCCCCTGCTCACGCAGGAGACCTGTATTAGGGATTCAAACCGCCAAACTGCTGACCTTTCTGATCGACAAGCTCAGTGTCTTGGCCACTGAGCCACCTAGTCAGGCTTAGTTGTGCTTCAAAATGCCCTCGTTTAAGCAGGGTGGGTTTAATTTATGTATTTAAGAAAATGTACATGGTTGCACAATTAACTCTCAGGATATTTTTGCTATGAGGATGAAATGCCCAAAGTCCCAACCCCTCATACATGCGGAAAATTAAATTGAGCCCTTATTTGTCCCTGATTAGATGAGTAAATTCATGTCAGATACTTTATAACAAAATGGATGAGGCAATTGGTCAGGATTTTACTAGTCCTTGCTTTCTAATAGAAGGGATTTATGTAGTCATATAATCCAATGTATGGCTTCTGTTTAATTTTCTTTATCAAAAATGATTCCATCTAAGGTAAGTATGTTCTTGTTGAGTATCACATATAATCAGGAAAATTCAATCAATTTTCTTTGAAACCAATGATCTAGGTCAGGGGTTGGCAACGTTAAACATTCAAAGAACCACAAAGGTCCTAACCGGAAGCCCCCTGTTTAATTCTGGAGCTGACCGGAAGTCCGGTTCCCCCACCATAGAGTCTCCTCCTAGCGTGGCGTCTTTTTTCCTCTACCAGTCCTAACCCTATCAATTGTGGGCTGACCTGAAAACCCGCCTCTTGCCATAGAGTCTCTTCCTGGCATGCCCTGCTTCCCGCCCCCACCCACCCAACTGGAAGCTCCTCTCAAAATTGCGGTGCCGACTGGTGACAGGGAGCCGCAGCAGAGGGATGAAAGAGCCACATGCGGTTCCAGAGCCGCAGGTTGCTGATCCCTGATCTAGGTTTTATCTTCTGCAAAAACCGAGGATAATTTTCACATTTTAATTATGCCCTTTAAAGTTTCAAAGAAGTGCATAAAGTTAAAAGCAATAACAATAACATATACATTAGATAATTTGCTAGTACCCAAATACAAAGTGTGTCTCACTTTTGTAGATCAGATTGGCAGGGTAGGAAGTAAGATGGGATCCTGTACTTTCTGCCATTGGTGCTTCTGTTTCATATCCAACTGGTAAGTTTTCGAAAATAGCATGGGCATAGTTACTAGAGCCAAGCCAGAGATAAGTGTCAACTTTTCCATGGACATTCCAACCTGGAGGCCTTTTTCCTGGCAACTAAAGGAAAAAAGTTAAAATATCAAATCCCCAATGATATTTCTAACCATATTTCTTTTCATAATACTCCACTGGTGGCATCATCTAGATGACTTCTGTTGATCATAAGAAGCTAAGCAGGGTCCAGCTGGGATAGTACTTGGAAGGGAGTCTATCAGGATATCCTATGGCTGTAGCCAGGCCAGAATTTAAAAAAGGAGTATAGAAGAAAACAATGGCAAAATACAATCTGTACTGTGGAAAGATAGATCAATAGATCAGTCTAAAAATAGTGGAGAATATCAATCTGAATAATAGGAGAGATGTTTAGATAGAGAGGAGAGGAGAAAATCTGCCACTATTAACTTGCCACGATGCCTATAGTAGATTTATAAAGTTTTTTGGAGGGAAAAGCACCTTTTAAAATCATTTTTTCGGCCAAAGAGGTTGTAGAAAAAATGCTTTTAAAAGTAAAAAAACAACCTCCGATGATCGTGCTGCTCAGCTGGGCAATGGGGGCGGGCAGGGATTTTTGCTACCGGTTCCCCGAACCACCCGCCGCCATCGCTACCCGATTGGGCAATCCGGTCTGAACTGGAACCATTTCACCCCTGATCTGTGGGATGTAGGCATTTCCTGTCCATGAAAATATCTTTCTCCATGGAACCAGTCCCTGATGCCCAAAAGATTGGATGCAACTGCTATAAAACTTAGTGAGGATTAAGATTATTTTATTTCTTTTCAGCCTTACTTTCAAAAAATGGGTTTTAATCTTCCCGCAATGTTTGCCCCGCTGCTCCTTCACCGGGGAATACAGCACGTCTTTGGCTGGGATTCTTGTATAGGCGATTCTTTTATTGTTGCTAAGCATCCAGATGAAGAGGTCGGGCACTGTATGTTGAGGCTGGGAAAGAGGAACATTGACAGCTTTAAGGCAGGCGCCCAGCTTGCAAAATCTGTTTTTGAAGCAGCAGCAATTTGAAAAATTCAGATGGATGAACAAAGGTTCAGTTAAACGCATCAAGCTCTTATTTCAAAATTAAAACATAGGCATAGCTTTGCATTCACAAGCCTCTATTTAGGGCACGATATTATACCTTTTTTTAATGGCACTCAGAGCTCAGATTTGAGGGTTTATTTATTGCATGTTTTGATCTCTAACTTTCAGCTTTTGTTTTTTGTAGCATAAGCACATGCTGATCCTACCCAGTTTGACATCATTAAATATATTGGAATGAGGAAAATTAATCCTTCATTCCAGTCCTGTAGCTCCTTCTTTTAGACTGCCAATTCTACACAGGGGAGCGTGTGATTTTTGTGTGTGTTTGTGTTTAAATCCATGGCAATAATAGAGGGTTTTTAAGACCCTATGCCCATGTAATTTTCTTTTTTAAAAAAAGAAAGAAAAAAGGAAGGGCTGTAGAAAAAAGACAAATAAAGCTACTTTTCACAATTTGTGTTTGTACATCAGAATTGGGCAACCATGAAAAACCGATCATTAAAAAAATAATAATAACCCCAATACTTACATGTTGTCTTGCTAGGGACTCACAAACATTCAGCACATTATAGAGTAAAATTAAAATTACTGTTCTGACCTAGGCTTCCTGAGTCATTAAATCTCACAAGTAGTCCCAAAAACCTTTTTTATTGCAACAGCTGTATATTCTCTTTCATTCACAGATGAGTCCCAATTAGTTATAAAGAGTCCTTCGGGAGAAATCCTTCGGGATAATCACCCACCTTTATCTCCCTTGACACGCTGCCAAAGATCTAATTGGCAAAGCCACACGGAGTCCAGAATCAAACAGAGCTTCAGGCTTTAAGCTGAACCAAATGAACAAACGATGCTTCCTGCAAAGGCCCACGTGCCTTTCCTCCTCTATTAAGTCTTATGGGAGGGGCCAATCATCTCCAAGCCCTACTCCCAAGTTGTCCCTTTTGTTTTAGCTGTTCTTGCCTTCTGGCAGCTCTGCGCATGCGCGCACTGGAAACAGGTTCCTCTTCCTCACTAAGGTCCGACTCTGGAGGCTCCGGAGGCAGCACATACCTCCCAGATGGCCCTTTCTCTGCCTCTGATGCAGAGCCCTTGTCCGAGCCTTCCCCAGACTCCAGAACTGGCCCATGGTCCACCCCAGCCTGTTCACTGTCCGACTCTGCTGCTAACTCCACAGGCTGTTGGCGGACCACAACAATTACATTCAGACATCAGCTGACTCAGTTGGGTAGAGAGTGAGATTGAATGTCCTCAGTCCAAATGTATACATTACAACGTAAGAAAGTTTTTGTAAACTACACACACACACACACACACACACACACACACACACAGAGAGAGAGAGAGAGAGAGAGAGAGAGAGGAGTTCTTTTAAAAATGTAAATATTTGTCAGCACTTCAAGCTGCATTTACTCTAGTGCTGACATAAGAAGGAGAAGTGGAGGCGTCTGGAAAGGGACGTTTGACTTTTCACCTACTTATTTTCCCTGGAGATAATATCCCCTAGGAGATGGGATGGGAGGGGGGAAATTCCTTTGAGCTGGAGCAGTAGATTAGGGGTAGAGTGACTTGGAAGATGGCCAATGAGTGCAGGGGAGTGGGGAACAGAAAGGGAGGGTTTTGGGTCTGGAAGTCAGTGTTGGCTGCGATGCAGTCAGAGTTAGAATGTCGTGCTAAATAAATGGGAGTTTTCTTCAAAGACTTTGTTTGAAATGCAATTTATTTGAGACGACCTCGAAACCTGACAATATTAGGATATAGGCTAAGGAGACATTATGCTTTCTCTTGTAAAGTGAATCTTGACCATAAATTCCAGTCCCAACGGAGATGTCAAGAAGCATATCTATTGGTGCTGATTCTTAGCATTGTCTAATTAGGCATGCTTTTATTCTTTACACTGGAGGAGCCCATAGCAATTTGCAAGCAATGCCCAGGTCTCAGAAAACACTAGCTATCACAAATCATTTCTAAGGCAGAAAGTAGGATGTTGCCTTTGAAGATCAAGTGGATGAAGAAAGGAAACTCGAGCAGTTACCTCGTCAATTAAGAACCGAATCCTCTCTATAAAGTTTTGTGTTTCACGCATCATTTCATCTAGCGAAATCTTCTTTTTTTGCTGCTGGAGAATCCCTTTAGCATCCTTTGACATGGCTTCCTGTAAAAGCACAGAGAAACAATGGATCTGTAGGAGTGGCGAATATCTGTAGCTTGGATGTAGGATGAGGGTGGAGGTTTGTTCTCCGAGCTTGTGGGTTGGTTTCATTACTGGGCTAGGTAACATCTTCAGAGGAATTTAGGGAAATCTTTCTTTTAATCTTTCCTAAATCTCTCCCTAAATTCTGCTGAAGTTGTTACCTAGCCTGGTAACAAAATGTTTGGTAATAAAACCAACCCAAAAGCTTGGAGAACAAATCTCCACCCTCAATAGCAATAGCACTTATATACTGCTTTACAGTGCTCTCTAAGCGGTTTTACAGAGTCAGCCTATTGCCTCCAACAATTTGGGGTCTCATTTTACCCACCTCGGAAGGATGGAAGGCTGAGCCAACCTTGAGCTTGGTGAGATTTGAACTGCCAAATTGCAGTTAGCCGGCAGTCAGCAGAAGTAGCCTGCAGTACTGCACTCTAACCACTGTGCCACCATGGCTCAAACAACTGATTAGTTCTGGGACTCACGCAATTCCAGGGGATGCAAACGCTCTAGTTTGCAGTATGAAGGCAACCTGCAACTGTAAGTCCTTTGAGAGGAAGTGCAAAATTCCAACCCCTCAAAGTTAAGTTAATTCTTCCAATTGCAGTGTTTGGAAGGACAAGAAGGTGGAGGCATTAAGTGGACATTTTCTTAATACTGCCTCCCCAATGGACAGATTTGCCTATGGTGGTGCCAATGACAATATAACATCAGCAGCCATGCATCCTAAGACTTTTGAAGGCCAATAGATTTTAAAAGGTGACTTCCCAGCCTCAAGAAAGTTGCCAGACTCTCTACTAGGATATACAAAAGAGAGATTCCCATGGTTTTCCAGGAGAGATTCCCATGGTTCTTTGCCCACATTAGCAACATCCTATAGGGATTTATAGGGATGTGGTGACTCAGTGGCTAAGACGCTGAGCTTGTCGATCAAAAGGTCGGCAGTTCAGCGGTTCGAATCCCTAGTGCTGCGTAATGGGGTGAGCTCCCATTACTTGTCCCAACTTCTGCCAACCTAGCAGTTCGAAAGCACCTTAAAAATGCAAAATAGAAAAATAGGGACCACCTTTGGTGGGATGGTAACAGCGTTTCGTGTGCCTCTAGATTGAGTCATGCCAGCCACATGACCAAGGAGACGTCTTTGGACAGCACTGGCTCTTCAGCTTTGAAACGGAGATGAACACCACCCCTAGAGTCGGGAACGACTAGCACATATGTGCAAGGGGAACCTTTACCTTTACTTTTTTATAGGGATTTATTGCTATACAAGTAATCCTCAAATTACGACCACAACTTTGTCCATCTCAAAGTGGTTGTTCAGTGAGTTATATCCGATTTTACAGTGTAAGTGAATCATGCGGTCATTAAGAGAATTTGGCTTTCCCGATTGACTTTGCTTGTTGGAAGCCATCTTGGAAAGTTGTAAATGGTGATCACATGATCCTCGGATCCTGCAACTATTATAAATACATGCCAGTTGCCCAGTGCCCAAATTTTGATCATGTGACCATGGAGATGGTCATAAGTCTCTTCAAATGGTTACTACATGGATGTTCGTAAGTCAAGGACTATGTGTAACTAAATGTCCTCCTGCCCAAGTTTCATGCCATCTGTGGTGGTTGTTTTAAATGACAGTGTGTCACTAGTGGCGACTGAATTACAACAAAAATACCTGTAATGATCTTTCCATTTGTCACTGTCTTTTAGCACATTCCCACATTTCTCCTTCAGATCTGTGCAAGTGAACAGAACTGGACCAGTGCTGTACATCAGGCTGGGTGGTGACCACATTTAGCATTTCATGAGTGATCGAATTCCATGGTAGGTGCTGAGCATACAATTGTCCATTGTAATGTCTTTGCCATTATGTGTTGTGGGAACTCAGCCATTTTGGTTATGGCTTGCCCTATTCCCTATTTCCAACCTCCCGTGTAATGGAGTATAGTGTAGTGACACACTGTCATTTAAAACAACAACCACAGATGGCATGAAACTTGGGAAGGGGGACATTTAGTTACACATAGTTTATTCATGAATGAAGACAAATTTATGTGTCCCAGGATAATGTTGTAAATTCCAATCTGGTTCGGTCACCAGGACCAGAGATTTAATCTTTCAAGCTTTCAGACTCATGCTGGAGCCCATCCTTAGAGAACTTCTCTCTAGCACAGGGGTCAGCAACCTTAAACATTCAAAGAGCCACAAAGGTCCTAACCTGAAGCCCCCCGTTCAATTCTAGAGCCGAACAGAAGTCTGGGTCCCCCACCATCGAGTCTCCTCCTAATGTGGCGTCCTTTTTCCCCTGCCAACTGGAAGTCCAGTTCCCCCATCATAGAGTCTCCTCCTACCTCGGCGTCCTTTTTCCTCTACCTGTCCTAACTGAAAGCCCTATCCATTGTGGAGCCGACTGGTGACAGGGAGCCTCAGCAGAGGGATGAAAGAACCACATGCGGCTCCAGAGCCACGGGTTGCCGACCTCTGCTCTATCAAAATGTGTGCTTAAGGCTATTCTATACGTCATATTTATGTGGTGCTTTCCTATTGGTTGATTGGTGTGTTGATGACCAGCGGACCAGCGATTGATGGCCAGCACAAGTCTGAAAACTCAGAAGAGTAAACCTCTGGTCCCAGTGACTGACTCAGATTCGATGTTGGAACAGTTTATTCAGTTCATTCATTAAATTATAGTTAAACCAGACATGGTTTAGCACAAATATAACGCCAGCCAATTGGTCCAGCAGGTTTTTAATTCATTCCCACAACAGCCTAATCAAATAGTTCACATACCAGTTCTTGCTTGCACAGTTTCAGTCTTTTTTTATCCAAAGCTGTCCGATTCATGAGTTTGGGCTTTTTTTCAGCATTTGTGATAAACGATCTATGGATGCACAAAAGAAGCTTTAGAGACAATAAAAGAACATTTTTACAAAAAAAAAAAAAAGATAGCGCTTCTACTGGGATATACTTTGATCTAGCAAAGCAGGAGAGGCAGATATACTACGAGCTTTAATTTATAGCACAATACAGTCATCATTTGTATTTATAAAAAACATGAAGATTTGGAAACACAATGTTAATATTCCAAAGGAAATTAATCTGTTTTATTTTGCACCTACATCGCCACACCCAACAGAAGTTTAAAGAAATATGCATAACTATGTTGATCTTGCAGATTTTGGCAATATCTATTTTCAAGAATTGTTAGTGAATGCTTCCAATCAATATTACGTTCTTCTGGCAGATTCAAAAGCTTGCTGGATTATCTAGTAATGAATTGCAGGTAAATTTATAAAGGAAAAAACAATTGAAAGTAGGCCTTTGCATAAAATTGGAATCAAAGCCAGTAATAACTTTTACACTTACAGAATATATATAAAAAAAGCAAGCAATTCTGATTTAGCTGCTGTGCTCAAAGATTTCAATCAGCTTTCATTTTTAAGATGACTCACACTTCCCTCAGTTACATGCAGAATAAAACTTGGTTATGATTCAACCTTTTTACAACACAATGCTTAAATAGAATATATAAATATTGATCAAAAGACACGTATTTTAGGTTCAGGTGAATACAAAGTGCCAAATGACTTATGTACAGAAGATTATTCTGTGGAAAATTAATCAAAAGCAAAGTTATTTTTGTATATAATTTGTTTAAAAATAAGTCACAAACTGATGTGGGACAGATTCAAAATCAACGTAGACATACAGTGTGTTAGAAATCAACTCTGCATGATGTGTGTATATGTGTATTTGCCTTTGCCTTCTTCCTAGGGCTGAGCGAGAGTGACTGGCCCAAGGTCACCAAGCTAGCTTTCTGCTTAAGGCAAAACTAGAAGTCACAGTCCCCCAATTTTAGCTTAGTGCTTTTAACCACTACAGGTAGTCCTCGACTTACAACAGTTCATTTAGTGACTGTTCAAAGTTACAACGGCACTGAAAAAAGTGATTTATGACTATTTTTCACAGTTACGACCTTTGCAGCCTCCCCAGGGTCATGTGATTGAAATTCAGACGCTTGGCAACTGGTTCATATTTATGACCGTTGCTGTGTCCCAAGGGTCATGTGATCCCCTTTTGCGACCTTCTGACAAGCAAAGTCAATGGAGAAGCAAGATTCACTTAACAACCGGGTTACTAACTTATCAACTGCAGTGATTCACTTAACAACTATGGCAAGGAAGATCGTAAAAAGCAGGCAAAAGTCACTTAACAAATGTCTTACTTAACAACATAAATTTTGGGCTCAAGCGTGGCCGTAAGTCAAGGACTACCTGTAAACTGGCTCTTCTCTACATGATTAATGAAGAGAAGGACCAGGGGTGACATGATAGCAGTGTTCCAATATCTCAGGGGCTGCCACAAAGAAGAGGGAGTCAAGCTATTCTCCAAAGCACTTGAAGGCAGGACAAGAAGCAATGGGTGGAAACTAATCAAGGAGAAAAGCAACTTAGAACTAAGGAGGAAAATCCTGACAGTTAGAACAATTAATCAGTGGAACAATTTGCCTCCAGAAGTTGCGAATGCTCCAACACTGGAAGTTTTTAAGAAGATGTTGGATAACCATTTGTCTGAAGTGGCGTAGGGTTTCCTGCCTAGGCAGGGGGTTGGACTAGAAGACCTCCAAAGTCCCTTCCAACTCTGTCTATTCTATTCTATTCTATTCTATTCTATTCTATTCTATTCTATTCTGAAAGTGTAACTTTTCCAAATATCACCAGTTTCTATCAATCATGTAGGACTATTCTGACAGGTTTCTTCCCTGAGTATTCTTACCTACTTTGCTTGATAAAATCAACCAGAGTTGACTTTATTTTCTCTTCTGATGCAATCTCAGAAACTTTAATGAGATTTTTCACTTGCTCCAAACCTTCTTCCTGAAAGAAAAAGAGAAGAGCAAAGAAGGGCATTAAAATCATTTCAGATAGCAATCGATGCTATAGGTACATATTATTGTTGGAATATTTTTATATGCTTACAGTAAGGAAAGACAGTAGCTGGTTCCCATTGTCAGTATAAATAAGTGAATCTTTCATGTAACAAAAAAAAAACATGTATAGAAAAACACATGTATAGGAAAGAAAAAATACCCATTGCTTAGCTGTAGATAAAGAAACATCTGCTAAACCATAAATAATGAAGTTTGCTGTAACTTTAAGATAAGGAAACATGTGTTTAACAGAATATAAAAGGAAGATGTTCACAAATGAAGGCAAATATACGTGTCCCAGGATAATGTTGCAGGATCCAATCTGGGTCGGTCGCCAAGACTGGAGATTTAGTCTTCTGAGCTTTCGGACTCCTGCGGAAGCCCATAGTCAGAGAAGTTCTCTCGACCGGAATAGCAATAGCATTTAGACTTATATACCACTTTATAGTCCTTTACAGCCCTCTCTAGTGCATATAGTCAAGGCTATAGTTTTCCTAGTTGCAATGGATGGCTGTGAAAGTTGGACCATAAGAAAGGCTGAGCGCCAAAGAATTGAGGCCTTCAAACTCTGGTGCTGGAGAAGACTCCTGCGAGTCCCTTGGACTGCAAGGCGATCAAACCGGTCAGTCCTAGAGGAGATCAACCCTGACTGCTCTTTAGAAGGCCAGATCCTGAAGAGGAAATTCAAATACTTTGGCCACCTAATGAGAAGAAAGGACTCCCTGGAGAAGAACCTAATGCTGGGAATGATGGAGGGCAAAAGAAGAAGGGGACGACAGAGAACGAGGTGGCTGGATGGAGTCACTGAAGCAGTCGGCGTGAGCTTAAATGGACTCCAGAGGATGGTAGAGGGCAGGAAGGCCTGGAGGAACGTTGTCCATGGGGTTACGATGGGTCAGACACGACTTCGCAACTAACAACAACAGCCCTCTCTAAGCGGTTTACGAAGTGCCTAGTTGTGTGTAGCTTTTTCGTTGTTGATTGGGATGCTGATGCCTAAGATGTTCACGCTGATAGGGCAGAAACTCTTGTAATAATTTTATTTATTTATTTATTCATTCATTCATTATTTAGAAAATTTATATTGCTGCCCACTCAAGCCAGCTTACAGGACATAGAGACCCAATATAAAAGAAATAAAAATAATAAATAATAAAATAATAATAATAAGCCGATATATAAACCGACATATTTCATTTGGTTGATAATGATTGACTTTTTTAAAAAAACAAAACCCCTATAAATAGATGGAAAGAAAGCCTGATGCAGCCACCCATCCAAAGCAACTTGACAACTCTGGCTGAATAAATATATTTTGTCTCTCCGCCAATTGTCTGTTGCGTTTTATTAAAATCCTGACTTGAGAAAAAGAGAAAAGAAAGAAGTCTAATCTTTCTGACACTGTTAAAAGGAAGGCTGTGTGACAAGTGTGTGTGATACACCCATAATAGCAGGGGTGAAATCCAGCAGGTTCTGACAGGTTCTGGAGACCTGGTAGCAGAAATTTTAAGTAGTTCAGAGAACTGGCAAATGCCACCTCTGGCTGGCCCCAGAGTGGGGTGGGAATGGGGATTTTGCAATATCCTTCCCCCAGGATTGGGGAGGGAATGGGGATTTTGCAGTATCCTTCCCCTGCCACGCCCACCAAGCCACACTACGCCCACCAAGCCACACCCACTGAACCGGTAGTAAAAAATTTGGATTTCACCACTGAATAATAGTAAACAAAAACAAACCTAACACACTTTTACTAGAGAGTGAAGACACCAGCTCCTTCTCACTGGATTCAAAATAGTTCAATGAACAGAAAGATTTCCCAACATACAACATATAAATAAACTTATCATATTAAGCATTGTTTCTTAGTGGTCTTCCAGTTATTACTTTATTCTTCTTCCCCTTTATCTTAATCTATTACTCCATCTTCTTTCCCTCTTTTTCCTCCCCCCCCTCTTTTTTCCCCCTTTTTCCCCTATAGAGAACTGTACATTTTAGTTATCTCTTTACTATTATATATTTCTACCTTCATATTATATACATTTTTATTCCACTCCGCACATATGATACATCTCTATTTTGTACTTCTATTTTTCTCTCCTAATAGTTATTATTCTTTATTGTTAGTCTTAAGCCAATTATACTATTTATTCCATATTCTATAATATTCTGTCTCTTCTTTTTCCTTAATTTCTTTGAACAGAAAGATTTCCAATAAGAAATGAATGTTTACTCTAGGGAAACTACTGTATTATAAAAACCCATTTATTTAATCAATGTACATGGCTACCCATTTTGCAAATGCAACTCAGCGGATAACCAGGGATTTTAAGCAGTATATAAATTTAATACATAGAAGCAACCCCTCAAAAATAATAGCAAAAGCGTAGGAGCATAATGCGCCCACAATATGTATTCAGCATTTCAAATCATCCAGAAAAGGCTGTCCACTTATGCCAGTTGAAACAACTGAGTTGATTGATCGATTGAAAATTGTTTCACAAAGACACACTCTCTATGTGCGGCTCAAACATCAGTGTCATTCCAAACTTACCAAGAGATCTCCCATTTTTTCCAGGGTATTTGAGAGATACAACCGAAAGGTTTGATTCCCCCAAAAGCTCTTGACGTAAACACAAGGCTTCTTCTCACCATAAGGCAAGTATAGGTAGTTTCTGTTGAAAGAGAAGAATGCTCATCGGTCTGTTGAGATCCACTTCCCAAGGGACCTCACATACAAGGTCTAGCATCAGTTAGTAGTCATTAAAAATTACCTGTTTTTTTAAAAAATCTGTTTTTAAAAATGATATTTAACTCAATTATGAATTGATTAATGAATCAATTGAATCATTGGTGCTGTTAGATCCTGATCAAACAGTTCTTTGGGATTCCCAGATGTGACTGGCGTTTTGTTATCGACAGATGGAAATTTTATTGATGTGCGTTTTTCTATCCAATGTCTTTTGGTATGGCACCAAGTGTGCCAATAACCACAAGGATCACCATCAGTGGAACAACCTGCCTCCAGAAGTTGTAAATGCTCCAACACTGGAAGTTTTAAAGAAGAGATTGGATAACCATTTGTCTGAAATGCTATAGCCTCGGTGGTGCAGCGGACTAAGTGCTGTTAACTGCTAGCACTTAGCTGCCAGCTGCCTGCAATTAGTGAGAGTTCAAATCTCACCAGGCTCAAGGTTGACTCAGCCTTCCATCCTTTCGAGGTAGGTAAATTGAGGACCCGGATTGTGGGGGCAATAAGCCAGCTTTGTATAACACCGCTTGGGGGGCTGAAAGCCCTAATAAGCAGGTATATACATAGAAGTATGCAGACTATTACTATAATGCATTGTAAGCCACCCTGAATCTACGGAGAAGGGCGGCATATAAATTGGACTAATAAATAAATAAATTGGACTAATAAATAGGGTTTCCTGCCTAAGCAGGGGGTTGGACTAGAAGACTTCCAAGATCCCTTCCAACTCTGTTATTCTAAGTTTTAAGTTATCATGGCTGGTTTGTGCCAAAATTTTTCAACTTAGATTTTCAGATCTTGATACTTTGTGATCTTGGCCAATTCTTTGTCTTTTATTCTACTGTTTCCTGCTATCACCACATCAATTATCCACACCTTCTTCTTTTCAATCACAGTTATATCTGATGTGTTATAAGCCAAGAGTTTTATTAGACCATATTCGGAAATCCTACAGTATTTTAACCTGCTAACTTTCTCTACTTTTCCAACTCTGTGTTCCTATCACCTTTTCATTACTGACACATGATAATTTTTATAGATGTTCCAGTAAATCATTTTGGCAAGGGGTTATGTCTACTGTTCAAAAATGTTAAGAGGATGGCTGGGACCGACCAACTTTTTTGACTTTTTTTCTTGACTTTTCCTCTAGGCAGAGTCACTTCACTAGCCCCTAATTCCATCACAGTTTAGAACATCCCAAAAAATTGTTGACAACTCCCTTAAGTAATTTTGGGTACTTATGGGGAGTCAAGTTTTGATGTTTTGTGCAATCCGAGTCACTGGAGTTAGTATTATATGAGAACCTAATTAGTAGTGGTTTAAGGGATGCGGTGGTTCAGTGACTAAGATGCTGAGCTTGTCAATTGAAAGGTTGGCAGTTCAGCGGTTCAAATCCCCAGTGCCGTATAACAGGGATGAGCACCCGTTCCTTGTCCCAGCTTCTGCTAACCTAGCAGTTCGAAAGCATGTAAAAATGCAAGTAGAAAAATAGGGACCACCTTTGGTGGGAATGTAACAGCCACAGGTGGGTTCTACTTACCTTTACTACCGGTTCGCAATGGGGCCGCGCGCTCTTCTGCACAAGCGCAGGAGCGTTTTGATGATGTCAGGGTCAGTGGGCGGAGCCACCCGCCAGTTTTACTACCGGTTCTATAGAAGCGGTGCAAACTGGGGGCAACCCATCACTGGTAACAGCGTTCCGTGTGCCTTTGGCGTTTAGTCATGCCGGCCACATGACCACAGATACATCTTCGGACAGCGCTGGCTCTTCGGCTTTGAAACCGAGATGAGCACCACTCCTTAGAGTTGGGAACGACTAGCACATATGTGCGAGGGGAACCTTTACCTTTACCTTTAATTAATAGTGGTTTAGTCAACAACCCATACTTAAGCTTGGCTCAATGATGTGTCAACCCATTGGTTATTTGAAGAGTCCCAGTTAAAGAGAGCAAGAGATGGAAATTTAGCAGAATGAATCTACCTGTTTCCTTCCGTAATTAATGGCTTTTCAGGAGATGTGGTAGATATTAGAGGCATTGCAACGTCAGGAGAATCTTCTCCTGTTCCTTCGTGCAACAAAGGGGAACCTTCTTCTTCTTCTCCTTCATGGGCCTTCTTTTTCCCCCTGGCTCCAGATGACACACCATCAATCACATTTCCAAAGTCCCCTACAAAAACCAAAACTACTTGTCAGGATGGCAAAATGAGAAAGATAGAAATGAGATTAGGACTAAAGATAAAACCCAGGAATTCATTTACAGTACCAAACATTTGGTGCTGATGAGCAGGTATCATAAAGATTTCAAATTCTTAAAATTCTGCGGGATTTCACAGAACATCTCCCTCCGACAGTGCTAATACTGTAACTCCCTCAGGTATCCAAATACTTAAGAAAAAGGTAACCTAGTTTTTAAAAAAGAGATCTCATTGTTTTGCATGTCCATGTTTTCAAGTGGATATTTGGAGTCTTTTTATAGCTGCTGGAGTGGCAATTGAAGCAGAATGTATTGAATTTGATGATAAATGAAAATGGCAATCTTGATTCCTTGGAACATGAGAACTTTGAAGTAAGTCCAACAATAATTCTTCTTCCTTCAAGTAGCTTTTGAGATATCTCCTATAATCCAGGCTGTCAGACCTGGAAGCCAGTGGTGAAATCTAAAATTTGTTACTACCGATTCTGTGGGAGTGGCTTGGTGGTGGTGGTGGGTGGGCATGGCCAATTTTTTTTTTTAAACTTTTAAAACCATTTTTTCTACAACCTCTTCGGCGAAGAGGTTTTTTTCTTTTAAAAGCCTCTGCCAATCAGGCAACTCAGCTTGGATCGTCAGAGGCTTTTAAAAGAAAAAAAGCCTCTGCCGATCAGGCAACTCAGCTTGGATCGTCAGAGGCATTTAAAACGATAAGGCAACTCAGCTTGGATCGTCAGAGGCATTTAAAAGAAAAAAAGCTTCTGCCGATCAGGCAACTCAGCTGGGATCATCAGAGGCTTTTAAAAGCACTTGATGATCCCAGCTGAGCCCCACGATCATCAGAGGCTTTTTTTCTTTTAAATGCCTCTGAATTTTTTCCGCCAAAAAGGTTGTAGAAAAAAATGCCTTTAAATTTTTTTTTTAAAAAGCCTCTGATGATTGTGTGGCTCAGCAGGGATTTTTGCTACTGGTTCTCCGAACCACCTGCCTCCATCGCTACTGGATCGGGCGATCCAGTCCGAACCGGGAACATTTCACCCCTGCTGGAAGCCATCTTTTACAGTTGAGCCTTCAGGCCTCCTACAATTTCTACTGTGGGAAAATGGAAGGGGGGAATGTATAGAGCATGGGTGATATATAGTCAAAATAACATTCTTTTCTCAGAGAGTCAAGGCCATGGTGCCCTGCAGCTGCCATGAGGGAACTGGGAGGCATCTCCAGTTGGGACAGTGCATTGTGGGTGCTGGGCAGGGACTTGAACTTTCTTTTGGGTGGGGAAAACCTGGAAGCTTTCAGATTCGGGTTTCCCCAGATGTGCCAATATGACATCTCTAATAAAATGTAACTTTGAGGAAATCCAAGCCTCGGAGTCTTCTTTCGTTGAGGGTGTTACTTGGGACCCTGATACAGGCTTTAGAAAGGGATCCTAAATGGGATCCCTATAACAAATCACCTGTGTGATTCACCTATATCCTCGGTCTTTGGAAAATCCCTGTCTACAACCTTCCCCTTGGTATCCTGACAGTTTGGACTACAATCCTATCAATTCTTTGATCCTATAGAATAATATCCAGTTGATACATGATACAGTACAAATAGTCCTCGACTTACAACACTTCATTTATTGACCGTTCAAAGTTACAACGACACTGAAAAAAGTGACTTATGACTATTTTTCACAGTTATGACCTTTGCAGCATCCCCATGATCAGGTGATCAAAACTCAGATGCTTGGCAACTGGCTCATATTTATGACAGTTGCAATGCCCCAGGGTCACGTGATCATCTTTTGAGACCTTCTGACAAGCAAAGTCAACGGGGAAACCAGGTTCACTTAACAACCGTGTTATTCACTTTACAACTGCAGTGATTCGCTTAACAATTGTGGCAAAAAAAAAGTCGTAAAACTCCCTTAACTAATTTCTCACTTAGCAACATAAATTCTGAATTTAATTGTGGTCATAAGTCGAGGACTAGCTCTCCTAGCCAGCATGACTAATGGAAAAGTCTCTCCCTTAACCTTTCTTAAGAGGGTGGAGAAACAGGATAAGGCCTTGCTCTAATCCACAGTACACAAATACACTCATGAGGTTCTGACACATTCAGCCTCTCCCAAGCCTCATGTTTCAGTCAATATTAGACTTAGACTTATTTACCTAAAAAGCCTTCTTCTCTACACCCAGGCTGATAATACAGGCTTGTTATCTTGAGATAACAACTGATGTACTTAGAACGAAAGAAGATTTTTCTTGTAATGAAAAGACATGCTGGGTTTTTCCTGAAGTTTGATACTGGCCCTGACTCAAGCAACCTGAGGGAAGAGCAAAATGTTTTTTATTTTTATTTTTTTTGTGGCATTAGTACACACTTTCTAAATTAGGTAAAGCCAGGGGTGGGCTCCTGGCGGTTCGGCAGGGTTTGGGTGATCCTCTAGCCAAGGATCGCCGGGGTTCGATGAACCCCCAAATGCCATCCCTGGTTGGCCATGCGGCTCATTCATCATTCCTCCACACAGAGGGCCTGGGAGGGCAAAAAAATGGGCCTACCGGAGGTTCTGGAAGTCCAGAAACTGGCCTGTTTCTGGGCTCCGGAATGCCTCCAGAGCCCAGGAAAAGCCATTTTCGCCCTCCTGGAGGCTCAAGAAAAGCCTCCAGAGCCTGGGGAGGGTGAAAAACAGACCCCCTGGAAGTTCCGGAAGTCTGGAAACGGGCCTGTTTCTGGCCTTCAGAGGGCCTCCGGAGCCCGGGGAAAGCTGTTTTCGCCCTCCCAGAGTCTCAAGGAAAGCCTCCAGAGCCTGGGGAGGGCGAAAAACAGGCCTCCCGGAAGTTCCGGAAGTCCGGAAACGGGCCTGTTTCTGGCCTCCGGAGGGCCTCTGGAGCCCGGAGAAAGCTGTTTTCGCCCTCCTGGAGAATCAAGGAAAGCCTCCGGAGCCTGGAGAGGGTGAAAAACACCCCCCCACTGCTGTGGTGCAGGCAGCCGATTAGGCCACGTCCATCATGTCCACGCCCACCCAGCAACGGGGCAGCGAACCCGTTGCTAAAGGATTTGAACCCCACCCCGGAGTAAAGCTATTTGAAAGAAAAGTCAGATCAAATGGTTAACAGTAACATCAGCTTGGGGAATTTCTATTTGGAATAGAATTTTATACACATACCAACAGATACTTCAAAGCTTATTGGTTTATCTCCAACCTTCCTATCAATCATGGTTGCTTCAAAAAATGCCCCAAAGAGAAGGAATTCCGCAAGTTGTTCTTCATGTATCTGATAAAAACATCACAAAGGAAATCTACTTTAAAATGAATTTGTAACAGTTTACACATGAACAGACACCAAGATATGCCCAGAGAATTTTGGCACAGTACTGGTTTCATATTTGCTATGGGACATATGAAACTGAGCAAAACAGGCGTGAAAGTAATTTCTGCACAGTTTATTTTACTTTACCTGAAACAAAAAGGAATAGAAAACTAGTAGGTTTGTAAAAAAAAAAATATTGGCCTCAAGCATAACCTGTATTTTTAGCAATGCCTCTGACCATCACTAACCCTTAAAAGTCTCTTTAGAAATTAAAATAGTTGATGCCACAGCCCTGTGTCAATCCAGATGTTTTGATACTTGCCAAATCTACTATGAAAGTGCTTATAAAACAGATGTTCAAAAATTTCCACAGGCTTGAAAAGCTTGCTGTATTGGATCTCCTGATCAAACCTTTTATTATGGTCAATGATCAGATATCTATACGATGGCCTAAAGTTCTAATATTGCACAATATTACATATCATAGACATTACCTCCATGGAATTCATGAGAATTGACAGAGGTAAGGTCTCAATTACATCAATACTTAGATCATTCAGTTCTAATCCATCTTCACATAAGAACAGACATCTAAATTTTCAAGTAATAATTGTCAATGATTCAGACAGAATTTACAAATGCATTTCATTTGAATATGGCCGCCGGCATCAGATGGTAAAAGTACTTATTTCATCTTATACCATAACAAATCCTCATCATTTGCCCTGATTATTATGCACTGAGCATTTTTTTTTTCCTTACAGGCAATTCCATAAGATTAAAGATCGCTTTACGGGAGATATATAAAAAATGCTGCTACAAGGCTGATTACCAACATAAATTACTGACGTCTTTATTCATATCTAAGCACATATGGGATGAAATTAATGTTAAATAATGTGTGTGTTTAGGATAAAATGTCACCCTGTTTAATTATACTCTTCAGCTCTAAACAATAAACAGTGCAGGGTTCAGACTGCAGAAGCCCCTGGACAAGTTAACGAATTACTTCCTTCAATAGAACTGGGAGAAGTAATTTCTCTGTCCCTTCTCCCTTCCCATCTTTAAAACCTTCTCTAAAAAGCAGAGGATCCTTAAAAACAAATCTGCAAGGCCCAAGGACAGAAAATCCCATCCTGTGGATCACGGGTTGGTTCTAAATTTTTTTACTACCGGTTCTGTGGGCACGGCTTATTTTATGGGTGTGGGTTGATGGTCATGTGACAATTCTTTAGGATTTAGCAGAGGTACTGGTCTACCAGGCTTTTAACTGCTTGCAGAGCTGTACCAATCTACCCATTTATTTTTTGCTGGCACTGGTCTACCCATTTATTTTTGCAGGTACTGATCTACTCATGTATTTCTGCAGGCACTGATCTACTTGTGTATTTTTGCAGGCACTGATCTACTCACGTATTTTTGCATGCATTGGTCTACTCATCTGTTTTCTTTTAACACTGATCAGCTGTAGGGTGGCCCTTTGAAGCCCCCCAGCAAGAGTTTAAACAGTTTTTTTCTCTCTAACCATCAGCTGGGACTCAGGAGGCAGCAATAGATTGGGGGTGGGGGCCAAATAAAAGGTAGGAATAACGCGAGGGGTGGGGGAGCGCGTCGGGCGCGGGGGGGCAGAACTGGTTCGGTGACATCATATCGTCATCGCTACCGGCTCGGGAGAACCGGGCCAAACTGGGAGGAACCCACCACTGCTGTGGATGAAATATGCTGCATTTTACACAGTGCTATCAAGCACAAGTCGTTTCATCAATGCTACCCTCGTTACCCATCCTTTTGCCTTCAGCCTTAGTCACAACATTTGCCTTCAAAGAATCCTGATGTTTTTCCTTAAAAATGTCTCTGATTTAACATGCAGACAGATTTTATTTTTATTTTATTTTTTATCAGATATAAACACAAGAGCACCAAGGAGATAACACCAAGGAGGCTCCTGGTACTTCCTATCATCCCAAGGTTGACATTGCATATAATTTAAAGTAGAACTAGAACAACAGAACACAGAATAATAGGATTGGAAGGGACTTTGGAGGTCTTCTAGTCCAATATTTCATTGGACTAGAATATTTCACGAGAAGAGTCCTCCATTCCTCTACCCGCAATAGAATGCTTTATGCCACCAGACTTGAAATTTTGGGCTTACACAACTTAGAACTATGCCACCTTCGGTCTGACCTAAGCGTAGTACATAAAATTATCTGCTACAATGTCCTACCTACATAGTAGTCAATGTCAATGACTACTTCAGCTTCAACCACAACAATACACGAGCACACAATAGATACAAACTTAAAGTGAACTGCTCTAAACTCAATTCCAGAAAATACGACTTCAGCAACAGAGTGGTCAATGCCTGAAATGCACTACCTGACTCTGTGGTTTCTTCCCCAAACCCCCAAAACTTTAACCTTAGACTGTCTACTGTCGACCTCATCCCATTCCTAAGAGATGTGTAAGGGGCGTGCATAAGCGCACCAGCGTGCCTACCATCCCTGTCCTACTGTTCCCTTTTATTCGTATCCATCTCATGTATTCATAATTATGTCTATACTTATATCTATCATTTAATACATGCTTGATGGAACAAATAAATAAAAATAAATAAGGAATTTTTTTTAAAATCCCCTGCTCAAGCAGGAGACTATTATTCCAGCTGTCCAGTCTCTTCTTGAAAACTTGCAATGATGGAACACCCACAACTTCTGGAGGCAAGATGTTCCACTGATTAATTGTTCTCACTGTCATGAAATTTCTCCTTAATTCTAGGTTGGATCTCTCTTTAATGATCATCCATCCATGACATCTTGTCTTGCACCTAGGTGCTTTGGAGAAGCAAACAGAAGACCAGCTCCATTGGTATCTGTCTTTAGAGATTTGCATGTTGACACAGGCCCAGTACATATTTAAAGAGATTTAAGATCATATGACTTCTCCATGAACCTTCTGTAGTGAGGGTGGCTCCAACAGAGGAAGAATTAGATAGTGCTGTATACCTCTTTCTTGACAATCTCATGTAATGGACAAATACGTAATGCATAATTAAGCAAATATTTGTTTTAGTCACTAAAAGGTCACACTGGATTATACTTTCTTCGGTCTAGTCCTTTGTTCTGACTTGCAGAGTAGGATCTTTCTCATCTTCAAATAACCTTGAGAAACAGATGATCCTTAACTTTCATGTGGTCTCATCACCACCTTCAAAAAATTTGATGATCTTAGTTCTGGCAGGAATGCAGCATATTCCAAGATAGATACTTATCCTCTTGTCATTGATAACATCCGGTGAGATGAGACCATTGAGAAGCATAAGTGCTTAATTATGGTTCAGAAACTATGCTCCATGTTTGCTAACTTTGAGAGGGTCCACCTGCCTGGTAGCTTTGAGGGGGTCCATCTCCTTGGGATTCCCTGCGTCTTATATTCTTTAGTAAAATTGAACAGTTTTTGATTGCTGATTTGGGTTATATGATTATGTTATTTTCTTATCCTGCCTCAGAATAAAGCCTCAAGAGGACATTGTTTCTGACCACAAAAGTACCTCTAACCCAATCCTTCTGGAAACTGTAGTGTGTTGAGGAAATGGAAAATTCTGAAAAAATGTCCCAGAGAACTACCTTTCAGTAGGAGCTGTGCCATCTAAAACAAGATCAGACCTACTTCTTGGGATTCATCCAGGGGTGGGCTGCTTGGGGTTTGCAGGGGTTCGGGAGAACCCCTAGCTAAGATTCTGTGCAGTTCAGAGAACCCCCAAAACCCACTCCTGGCTGGCCCTGCCCACCCCACCCCTCCCCTCCCAGGAGTCTCTACGCGGCCCATTTTGGATGCAGGTAAGTGCAGGGCGCGCACGGAGGCTTGGGGAGGGCGAAAAATGGGCCTACCAGATGTTTGGGAAGACTGGAAACAGGCCCGTTTCCAGTCTCCAGAGGGCCTCTGGAGCCTGGGGAGGCAGTTTTCGCCCTCCTGGAGGCTCAAGGAAAGCGTCCGGAGCCTGGGGAGGGCAAAAACACCCCCCCCCCGCCATGGTGCAGGAGGCCAACTAGGCCATGCCCACCATGGCCACGCCCACACCCACCCAGCAACCAGGCAGAGAACCCTTTGCTAAAATTATGGAAGCCCACCCCTGAGTCCACCTGCCATCACCTCTTTGGGATTCCCTGCCAGAAGGGTCATAAGATCTTATTATATTCTTTAGTATAATTGAATAGTTTTTGATTGCTTATTTGGGTTATATGATTATGTTATTTTCTTATCCTGCCTCAGAATAAAGCCTCAAGATTCATCTAGTAAAGCAGATCCAGATTTTAATTATTTACCTCAGGGGGGACATCAAAAGCTTCCACTTCTGCATCTGTTGAATTTGTTTTGTCTGAAGAGGAAGGTGACTTGCCATCTTCTGCCCCTTTGTCTTTTCCGGTCCCTTTTGAACTTTTAGAATCTTTGTCCTTTGATGGCCGTTTCACATCCTTGATGATCTTTGAGAACTTTGATTCCTGGGCTGCACCAGAGAGGATTTCCACTGCAAGCTCAATTAGGAGACGACCCCTAAAAGAGACACCTTCCCCATAACCTTCGTTGAGTTCCTGGTAGTCATCCATCAAGCCGTGGGTTTTGGGTGCACCATAAAGATTGATCCAAGCAGGCCCAAAAGTAGGCAGGAAACCTGAAAAAAGAGATACGTTCCATAAAGAGAAAGTCTAATAAAGCATGAGAAAAACAAAGATGCCCAACACAAACAGGCCAGAGGTGGGTTTCAGCAGATTCTGACCAGTTCTGGAGAACCGGTAGCGGAAATTTTGAGTAGTTTGGAGAACCGGTAGTGGAAATTTTGCGTAGTTCAGAGAACCGGTAGTAAAAATTCTGACTGGCCCCGCCTACATCTATTCTCTGCCTCCCGAGTCCCAGCTGATTGCAAGGAAATGGGGATTTTGCAGTAACCTTCCCCTGGATTGGGGAGGGAATGGAGATTTTACAGTATCCTTCCCCTGGAGTGGGGTGGGAATGGGGATTTTACAGTATCTTTCCCCTGCCACGCCTATCAAGCTATGCCACACCCACCAAGCCACACCCACAGAACTGGTAGTAAAAATTTTTGAAACCCACCACTGAAGCAGGCATGTTTAGTTGTGTGCCAAATACACTTTTGAGGTGGCATAGTGGCTTGCTGCATATCTTACAAATTGATATATTTATTTGCTAGTAAATCTACACAAGTAAATTAAAGTCTTGACTAGAAATTATAGGTGACTTTTACATAATTGTAAATGAATGGGGTGTGTGCAGGAGTGGGCTGCTGGGGGTTCGCAGGGGTTCAGGACAGGGGTAGATTCTACTTACCTTTACTACCGGTTCGCAACGGGGCCGCTCGTGCTCTTATGCACATGCGCAGAAGCGTTTTCATGACATCAGGGTCAGTGGGCGGGGCCTCCCGCCAGTTTTACTATCGGTTCTGTAGAACCAGTGCGAACCGGGGGCAACCCACTGCTGGTTCAGGAGAACCTCTAGCTAAGATTCTATGCAGTTCGGAGAACCCCCAAATCCAACTCTTGGCTGGCCTCGCCCACCCACCCCGCCCCTCCTGGGAGTCCCCACGTGGCCCGTTTTGGATGCAGGTAAGTGCAGGTGCACGCGGAGACTCAGGGAGGGCAAAAAATGGGCCTACTGGAAGTTTGGGTCTTCTGAGAGCCTCTGGAGCCTGGGGGAGGGGCGTTTTCGCCCTCCCGGAGGCTCAAAGAAAGCCTCCAGAGCCCGGGGAGGACAAAACACACACCCCGCCATAATGCAGGAGGCTGACTAGGCCACGCCCCCATGGTCACGCCCACCCAGCAACTCGGCAAAGAACCCTTGCTAAAATTTTTGAAGCCCACCCCTGGGTGTGTGTGCTGTATTTGTGCCTTATCCAATCCAGTTTAGAAAACAAGAGAGTTTGATTTCCCTGAAAAGAAGTTCCAGTAAAGGGAATCTGCTTGAAAACCAAGTTCTCAGATAGCTTTTCTACAATTTTAGATATGTGTACTGTGGTGAACTAAAATAACAGGAAATGCATTGTGCATTTATTTGGGTACCATCTTTTTTTCCTCCAAGGGAAAAGTGTGTGTATGAGTGCGTTGGGCAATTCAATCTACCCTATAAAAAGAAATTATATATTCTTTAACTACAATCTGGGTCCTCATTTTACCAACCTCAGAAGGACGGAATACTGTAATACTGCATTCGAACAACTGTGCCATCACAGCTCAGGAAACACAAAAGGTGTCAATAAAAGAGAATATTTGTAGCTCAGGGTTGAAATGAGGGGTCCTTGGTGCTCTCTGAGCTTGCTTGTTTTCTTGCAGACATTTCATTACCCAACTAGGTAACATCATCAGTGCTAGTAAGGAGTGGAGTTTGCTGTAAGTTTATATTCTAGTGGCTTGCCTGTCAATGTTGGTGGGGGTGGTCTTAGCGATTCTGTTTGCTGTTTGTTTTTTTGGCAGTTTCTTGATTGGGGTATTGTTTATTTGATTGTTGGTCTGATGTAAGCTTGGAGTAAATCTATGCTGATCTTGGTGGCTGATTTGTCAGAGTGCCAGGCTTCTAGAAATTCCCTGGCATTTTTGACTTGGCTTGGTCTAGGATGTTCACATTTTCTCAATTGAAACTAAGGTGTGCTAATTCTGTTTTATTGTAAGGCTCCATTAATGGAATCATGCAAATCTGAATGTGCAAACGTCCTGCTGTCATTTTTAACCACTTGATCAATTATGGTATGTCCACTCTAAGTTTCTTTCTCTAACCGTTAAGCCACTGGGGGCTCCTGCTTCTCTTATCTGATTGTTTCCTAGGCAGCACCTCATTCTCCAAGATCATCACACCTCTACAGCTTGAGTTTGTTTTTTAACCAGAGAAGCATTTGTCTCTTTACCTTTCTCGCCGTCCTGCTCATTTGAGATCTTCTTCAGGTCTATCATATGAGTTGCCAAAGCCACATCATTCATGCTGCCTTCGTCCCATACTTGGATTTTGACTCTCCGGCACAGTGGGGGAAACATTTCTTTAAAGACAACCTGTTCATGCCACACAGGATCAGCACAATTTTTTTGCACCGTGGTTCGCCCCTAAAATAAAAGAGACTGGTTAAAGGAGGTCGTCACCAAACATCCATTCTACTCTAGCTGGGAACAATACTCTCTAATGCAGCAGTCCTCAATCTTTGTGGCTTGGTAGCCTGGCTGGGGTGGGAGAGGAGAACTGGGCCACACAAGCCACAGGCTGGCTCATACACGCGCAAACAATTGGACTTGTGTGAGTGGCAGGCCAGTGGGCAGGCACATATGCTCCCCACTTCGACTTGCACAAGTTGAGCTGCTCACGCATGTGCATGCACACCAGCCTGCTGCTTGTGCAGATCAAGCTGTTTGTGTGTGCATGCGCACTGGCCCTCCACTGACATGGCCCGGTTTCGAATAGGCCACAGCCCAGTAATGGGCCACAGCCCGGAGTTGCGGACCCCTGTTCTAACATAACTTCGTTCTGGATTCTGATATTCATGAGAAATAACTGTCAGGGTTCCAAGTAATACACCCATAGCAAACAGAACTCCGAGGCAAGTAGGTTCCTCAAAGAACAGGTTTGTTTATTTATTTATTTATTTATTTATTTATTTATTTATTTATTTATTTATTCAATTTATATCCCGCCCTTCTCCAAGTGGACTCAGGGCGGTGCACAGCCAGAACTAAAACACATATCAATACAAAATTTAAAATTATTAAACGAATTAAATAACTGTGGCCCAAAAATTTAAAACATTGAAAACTAAAACCCATTTGACAATTTAAAAAGCAAAGACTAAAAAAAAAGGGGGGGGTTTTCACGCCAGCCCTACTTGATGGAAAAGAAAAGTTTTTAGGGCACAGCGAAAAACCTGGAGATCCGATATCCTTCGTATCTCCGGGGGCAAATCGTTCCAGAGGGCAGGAGCTGCCACAGAAAGGCCCTCCCCCTGGGGCCGCCAGCCGACATTGCCTGGCTGACGGCACCCTGAGGAGTCCCCTCTCTGTGGGAGCGTATTGTATGGTGACCAGACGTCCCCGCTTTTGCGGAACAGTCCCGATTTTTAGCAATTTGTCCCGCGTCCCACGGCATTTTAAAAAGTCCTGATTTTTTGGAAAGAATGCAGACAAGCTAGGGAACGGCGGGAGAATGGGAAGGGAATATATGGTTTTCACTCACCCTCACCTCTGCCTCTATTGGATCACTGGTCCCCGTTCGCTTACCCCGCCCACTCCCCAATCTATTGCTGAGTCCCAGCTGATGGCTAGAGGGAAAAAAACTGTTTAAATTCTTACTGCGGGGCTTCAAAGGGCTGCCCTACAGCTGATCAGCTGATCAGATTTTAATTGGTTTTTAAAAAAATGGGATTTTAAATTTGGGGTTTTAAATTGAGCCTATCATTTAATAATTTTAATTATTTTTTAAATTTTGTCTGTCTTTGTGCTTTTAATCAGGCTGTACACAGCCCTGAGTCCTTCAGGAGAAGGGCGGTATAGAAATAAAATTAATAAATAAATAATAAAATTAATACATAAATAAAAGAAAACAAATGAGTAACTGATGCCTGCAAAAATAGAAAAAACAGCTCCTTTCAGCTTCAGCAAAGGTTAATTACCATAAGTTGATTTCATCAGCCTCCTGACTCTCAGTTGATTTGCTCTCAGCTGTTTTACGGAGGGCTAGCTAGCTGCAAAGAGGTAAATTGCTGGAGCAGATGTTTTTTTTCCCCTAGCTATGCTGAAAAAGCGAAACTGAAAGTAAAGCAGGATCTTTGCTGCAACGTGACAAAATGAGGCAGAGAGAGATTTCTTTTTCTTTTTCCTCAACAAAAAAGGTAGGTGCAAAACTGTAAACAATGGGAAATTTAGGGCAAAAGAGAAGAGTTCAAGATTTTAAAACACAAAAGAAAAAAAGCTCTATTTAACTAGGGAATTGTAATAATTGAGATACTATTAATTGTATATTGTGTTGAAAGCAGAAATGGTTAAGTTGTGGTTTGGAGGAATATATGGGGAAATTATTTGGTTTATTATTATTGTAAATATAATTAATTAATTTGTAAGAAATTGGATTGCATGGAAATAATTGGAATATTCATGTTCGTATTGATTAATATACAAAAAAGATAGTTATATAATTAATTGATTTATATAAAATGTTGAATTTGTATTAAACTGTATTACATAATTACATAATTAACTAATTGAGGATGGATATAAAAATAGATGACAATGGGAAGGGTGTAATATTTAATAGAAGGGAAAAATTGAATTTGATTAAGATTAGAGATGAGGATGAAGGGTAATATTGGTTTTTAAAAAAAATAGATGAGGAATAAATATGCAAAAGGAAATATAGAAATTGTAAATTTAATTGAAATGACTAACCACTGTTTAAATTTGTGAACCGGCCAAATACTCTGTTCAAAGAAAATACATTGTATGTTTGTATGTGTGTTTCTAATTATTGCCATTTATTCATATTTGTTCTCTTTTATTCTTTAAAGTTTAACAATTCATTCTTTATCTTAATATCTTTATATTTTTTGGGGTTGGCTTTCTTCCCTTTCATCTTTTTATTGTACAGCAATCTTTCTCCTCAAACCTACCACCTCTCTCTTTTCTTTCCTTCTTACTTTCTCTTCCCCCCTCTTCTTCTCCTCCCTACTTCCTCTTCCTTTCTCCTTCTCCTCCTCTCTTCCTCCCTCTCTTGCCCTCATCCTACTCTAATTTCCCTTCCCTTCCTACATCCCTCTCTATTGCTGTATCCTTTTATGCAGTTATGAAATGACACGTTGCTAAGAATGCTACAATTGGCATAAATGATGACCAGTCATAAGTGCGAAAACCAGTCAAAAGTGCGAGGACCTGTCAGAAATCACTTTTTTCAGCCCTCTGAGTAGTCCCTATAGTATACTCATAGCCATGGCCACCTGACCAGCTAGCCACGCCCACCCAGTCACATGACCTCCAAGCCACGCCCACAAAATAAGCCACGCCCACAGAACCAGTAGTAAAAAATTTTAGAACACCCCCCCCCCCCAAGTCAATGGTGTCCCTCTTTACCAATGTTAAAATCGGTCAATTAGCGTACTGGTCGGTGGGAGGCTATCGGCAGCAGAAGGCGGTCCTGCAAATACCCAGTCCCATGCCATGGAGCGCTTTAAAGTGGTGACCAACACCTTGAAGCGCACCCCGAAGACCACTGGAAGTCAATGCAGCTCACGCAGGAGAGGTGCCCCCTCGCTCCCATAATCCCCCGCCGCGCTGCATTGTGCACCAGTTGGAGCCTCCGGTACTCCTCAAGGGGAGCCCCATGTAGAGAATTAAGCCCCATTTAAAGAATTAGGAAATTGTAGCATGGATCTATGTTGAAAATAATAAATAAAACAACTATTTTTAGTTATTTTTAGTTTTAGACTATTATTTAATATCCTTTTTATCATGTTTATAATCATAATTTTATAATTGATTATCAATAATCAGGCATTGACTACATTCAAATATTCTACTATGATATAGTTTTCTTAATTGTAATTAAGAGCTTAGTGTAATGTTATCAAAGCATAGTTTCACACCATAGTTCTTCTAGTAAACCAGAAGTAATTTCTCAAACATAGATCCTACTCAAGATATATATGACTTTTTTGTATAGCTAAATCTGTGCTAAGATTTACAGTGGAATGCACTCTGTCCTAAAGGTGTTTTTTCAAAGGACAACTGGACTTTGTTTTTCCTTGAAGATGTTTCGCTTCTCATCCAAGAACTATCTTCAGTTTTGGATTGTATTATTACTAGATTTCTTCTCTAATGCCTTTGTTATTATGACTGTGGTGGTGCAGTGGTTAGAATGCAATACTGCAGGCTATGTCTGCTGACAGCCAGCTGCCAGCAGTTTAGCATTTCTGGTCTCATTGGCTCAAGGTTGACTCAGCCTTCCATCCTTCTGAAGTTGGTAAAATGAGGACCTAGCTTCAGTGGTGGTTTCTACTGTTTGCCCTGGTTCGGGCAAACCGGTAGTGGCGGTGGCGGAGCTCCACCCACCCACCTGGACGTCTTCATGGATGCTCTGCGCATGCACAGAAGGTTCTGTGCATGTGCAGAAGCACCGGGCATGTGTGCTCGCTCCCAAACCAGTAGCAAAGGTAAAGGAACCCACTGCTGCCCAACTTGTTGGGCAATATGCTAACTGTGTAAACCTCATAGAGAGGGCTGTAAAGCACTGTGAAGCAGTATATAAGTCTAAGTGCTATGGCTATTTGCTATTGTAGCTATTAATTTACAATAGTCATATAGCAATAGCACTTAGACTTATATACTGCTTCACAGTGCTTTACACCCTCTCTATGAGGTTTACACAGTTTAGCATATTGCCCCCAACAAGTTGGGCAGCATGGGTTCCTCTTACCTTTGCTACTGGTTTGGGAGCGAGCACACATGCCCGGTGCTTCTGCACATGCACAGAACCTTCTGTGCATGCGCAGAGCATCCATGAAGACGTCCAGGTGGGTGGGTGGAGCCTCCCGCCACCGCCACTACCGGTTTGCCCGAACCAGGGCAAACCAGTAGAAACCCACCACTGAAGCTAGGTCCTCATTTTACCAACTTCAGAAGGATGAAGGCTGAGTCAACCTTGAGCCAATGAGACCAGAACTGCTAAACTGCTGGCAGCTGGCTGTCAGCAACATAGCCTGCAGTATTGCATTCTAACCACTGCACCACCACAGCTCATAATAACAAAGGCATTAGAGAAGAAATCTAGTAATAATACAATCCAAAACTGAAGATAGTTCTTGGATGAGAAGCGAAACATCTTCAAGGAAAAACAAAGTCCAGTTGTCCTTTGAAAAAACACCTTTAGGACAGAGTGCATTCCACTGTAAATCTTAGCACAGATTTAGCTATACAAAAAAGTCATATATATCTTGAGTAGGATCCTATGTTTGAGAAATTACTTCTGGTTTACTAGAAGAACTATGGTGTGAAACTATGCTTTGATAACATTACACTAAGCTCTAATTACAATTAAGAAAACTATATCATAGTAGAATATTTGAATGTAG